TTCTTTGAATATTCCCAAACGAATATTTTGTCAATGCAAATCATTATCCTCGGAATGAAGAAAATATTCCTTTGGTTTAATGAATTTGTTTGTTTTTTTTTTTGACAGTTTGAACTGCACCTCGGCGGAGTCATCCCCGAGGGGCATCCGAGGTGCTGCTCCGAGAAGGCATATTTAGATTGCATGTTTAAGGTGCACCTCCATATTATATTTCCACAGTGCCACATTGAGAAAATACCCTTAGGGTGCATCTTTACAGTGCACCTCTACAGGGCACCACTCAGACTATCAGGGCGCGTCTTTGTGGGGCGCCTCGGAGGAGCCACGTGGAGGCCCCTGCAACCTGCACCTCTGGAATGTCTCTTTAAGGTGCACCTCTGCTCGTTGCACCTCTAGACGATCCCACTGAGGGGACATTTAAAATTTTTCTTCCTTACTTTACTTTCTCTCGGTCGCATCTCTAAAATGCACCTATGGGGCGCAGCGCTGGGGACGCAGCCAGGAGGCCCGAGCGCGGGAAAGTTGCGGAAAACGTTCCGTAATCGAGCTTGGCGGAATCGTCCAAGTGGCGTCTTTTAATCCGCACGGTCTAAGGTCTATTTTTCGCCGGACAATCGCGCCAGAAATACCAACGCGACCACGCCGCGTTAATTCCGGCCGGCTCACATGATCGGCGCCGCTCGGCGGGCGTTTCGCCCCAACTCGAACTCCTCGAGGAGGGGCAGGGCCACCCGAGTACGCAAATAAGAGTGGCGGAAGCCCCGCGAGAAAGTTACCCTTCAAAGTCAAGGGTATAAATACCCCGCGCACATCATAAGTGCCCTTTCTTCGGGGCTTCCGCGAGTGCCCCCCGGGGACGCCGCCATCTTGACGAGAGGCGACACTAGAAATGGCTGAGTTTTTCAGAAATAAACTGCACAGAATAAAATCCGGATATCATGAAAAACAGGTGTCAACTGATTACAACCGATTGCTCGGTTTTGATTTTTTAAATTGTTCTTCAGGAAAATTTAAAAATTGTTGTTTTTAGCAAAACTGAAATATCCACGAGTGTTAACACTTTGAGCGCTAAGTCCTTTTGGCGTTTGGGCGAATTTCATCAGGGCGTGCGAGCAATATTGGACCAAATGTCGAACGCACTTATGGGTTCATAGCGCTCAAAGGGTTATGACCTTCCTTAGGGGCTCACTTTTCGTGTGATAGAATTTCAAGCGATTCGGTAGACCCAGCTGGGAGGAAAGTTTCATGAACGATCTCTCAGACGCCACTTTCGCGTCGCCTTAATGATGAGTGGCGTGACTCCTCCTCGTCGGTTTTCTTTAAACCCTCGGCCCCTTCCCACTCGGCTTCGAAAACTCCCGAAACCTCGAGTTCGCTCGGCCGTTAACCAAATAATGATTTATCTAATTATTACTAAAGTAACCTTGTCGACGGGAAGAATCGTAAACGCGTTAGCGCCGTTCCGAGGCGTTGAAATTTATTGCGCCAACATGGCGGCTTCCGAGACGTTCCCGGATCTCGAGAGTGAAGTTCCCACCCGGCTCGTTAAAGCGAATTATTCGCAGGGGATTTGAGGTTGTAGGGGCCGAAACTTTTTCGAATCCGATCGTTCACCACCCACGGACAACCCGAGATTATTCCGCCCTCTGGTGGGAAAACGAAGATCCCCTGAAAACGCTAAGCTAATTTAGAAATCTAATAAGAAAAAGAAAACAGAAGAGTCGTTAACACGCGGAATTTAATGCAATTAATTTCGGTTACTGTCCTACCTGTCTTTGATTAAACCCTTTTCGAGATTGCACCCCGAGGGCGGCTCCGTAATTTGCATAACAATCGGGAACAAGGTCGGAGGGATTAATTTGAAATGCATTGAAGTCGCATTTTGCCAACGCGTCCTTTCGGTTCCGCGTGAATGCGAAATTTTCAAAAAATGTCTTTAAAAAGAAAATTACAGTTGGAAGACTGAAAAATCCCTCGGTAAGGAGATATCCATTTTCAAAAGGAGTCTTTATGAATATGCAGGAAGGAATGTGAAAAATTCGCTAAAAGGAATGTCAATTTTTCGGGAAGCGTTTTTGTAAATAAAGGGGGACAGAACACTCGTGGAAAGTTTTCTTAACCCTCGGAATCGGTTTTAATTATTCCGTCGTTAATTATTCCATGGTTCACGGCTCGTGGGCGGCGAAAATAACGTAAGGATAATTGGATCTGAGGGGTAACGAAGTTCCTACGAAATTCGCATTTGCGAAAGTTGATCGGCCGGAAAGGGAAGTTCCGCGTGGGCGTCGCCATTCGCGGTCGAATTTGTCGGCCCGTAAATCGAAGGCATAAAAAATGGTCGACAAGTCGCCCCAAGAGAGAGGTTCGTTTCGGTAACTTTTTCTCGATTCCCCTCAAATAGATATGCAAACGAGAGCCCGAAGGAAAAAAAGAAAGTGGCAGGAAAACGGACGGAGAAATTTCCCTCTCTCCCCCGGGAGCGCGCCGAAACGGCGCCATCTTGGAAACGTTCTCTTCGCGTAATTGTTTACCGACAGAGATGATTAACCGGTCGAAGTGATTTTGCAACTTCCCTGCAGATCTGTCAACATTGTCGAGGCTTCCACCTGACGCGTAATTGTCAACGTCTCGTGCTTCGCGGGCACAACAGCCAAAGTCATGTGACAACTTCACGGCGCACTGCGATCATGCACCTCGTGCCTTTGAGTATCGTTTAAAAAAAAGTTACGCAAGATATATCGACATCTCCTAGCTCCTTCCACTCCCACGAGGTGAACATAGAAGGAAACAATGAAATTCACGAGTTTAGGGACGTTTATCCTCCAGTACGTTAGCTAAAGTCATGTGATAACTCGGCGCACTGCGATCGCGCACCTCGTGCTTTTAAGAGTCTCCTAAACAATAATTAGGCAAGATATATCAACAACTTCGAGCTTTTCCCGTTCCCACGAGGTGAACATAGGGAAAGCCGATTAAATTCATAAGTTTGGGGACCTTTATCCCCCGTGTTTTCCGTTTCAATATTCGATATTCCCGGTCGATTCGTTTACGCAACGTGTTTGCGTCGTCTGGGCGCCGGCTAGTCTGTCGGGCGAAAAATGGAAAAGGGATATTTACATGGACCGCTGACTGTTTTCTAGAAAACAGGCGTTTTTTATATTTATTTACGATCCGACCGCCCCCTCCCTCGACACGCTATAAAACCGCGAAAGTCTGGGCCGATCGGCGCTCGTCGGTGCCGTTATAAAATGTGGGATTTATTTTTAGCGATGCAAAAATATCGCAAGGTCGCCGACGCCAGCGAGCTTGGAGCTTTTGCATGCCGGGACGTCCAATCGGCGAATCCCGAAATTTCCGCGAACTCGCGAGCGTGCCGCCATCTTGCGGGTCGACCGAGTGACGACTACCGACGCGCGATCTCCGAGAAATAGTAATTGAAATCGCTTTAATACGCGAATTTAATACCGAAACTGGCCGTCTCTATCGTTAACTCGTACATCAATGCTACAAGACACTATAAAGAGTAATTAAAGCGCTAAGAAACTTGACTGTTTAACCGACTTCAAAAAAAAAAGAGGTTCTCAATTCGACCGGTACATATTTATTTTCACGCGTAACCTTTCTCCGGGTTAACAGATTTCGACGATTCCTTTTTTGTCTTAAAGAGGGTACTTTCAAAGTGGTCCCCATGTAAGTTTCATGATCCGATCATAAAATTCGGAAATAGACAAAGGAAATCATGAACGGTTGACAGAAAACGCATCATGAATAAATATAAAATTGAAGACACCGATACACATCGTTTTTTTTTTTTGTCGATTTGAAAGCAATCCAAGCAATGAATACTTAGAAATCGAAAGTAGTGAATAGATAAGTAGTTTGTACGTCATTATTTTTTACTTTGTAGTGTCAGAAATCGGTTTTCCTTTTTTATTAAAAAGTTTTTATATTCCTTGGTTGCCACTGAGTTTATATTTTAGGTTAGCTTCAAGTTTCTGGATCGAGCTGGATCGATTTCGCCACGTGGGCGGATTTTCGCGGCTGATTGTCAAGGTTATACCTCCCGACTAAACTGCTTTAACGTAATCCTTTGTACCGTGAAGTTGGCATCGTAAACCGGCGAGATTACGCGCGGGTAGCAGATTAGTTCGGTCAATTTGAGACCATAATTTTGGCACTTTCGGTTACGATCCCATGCGCACGGTCGGTAACTGACGTAAAACAGGCGAATCCGTTGGCATGCGTGCAGAATCAAGCTTAAACGCTATTTTATTTTAGTCCTGACGTGTGGTTTTGATGAAACGCGTGACGTCATGGGAACGCACGATTTAATGTCGCTCTTTACCTGTTTCATCGTTTACGCGGGCTACTAAACCGCTACTCGTAAGTTTATTCCACGGTTAGTGCAGCTCCGATCGTCTTACACATTTAGTTAAAGGTAAATTCATCGGTATAGGTTATCAATTTTTCAAGATCACAGTGCAGGATACAAGTCGAACGAATCGCGGGTGAAAATAACTCTTGGCAGATCGCGAATGCCGGAAATATTTCGGGAAAACTCCTCGGAAATGTAGATCTCTGCCGGTAAATCCGCTCGTTCACTCCTTCCCCGTCAGGCGGCGACTCCATCCACAGGAACTCTTCCGCAACTCAACGGCGGAACTTACCAACTGTGCCTCGATTTTCGAGATCCCGAAAATCGGCTTGTAATCCCAGATTCCAAACTCGTGGAGTTATTTCAAGCGTCAAATGCGATATTATACAATTTTCTCGCGAGATATTATGGATGAAACTTTCAAGCTGACGAGCGAGTCTCGAGTCGACAAGATGGCGTCTTTTCCCTTCCGAGTGGAACCAGTGAGTACTTTCCCAGCCACGAGGTGGCGGCACGAATCCGGCCGTTTGAAATTTGAAATTTCAAAAAGTTAGTAACTCGCGATGTGCGTTTTGAAATGAAAAACGGAATCTCAGTGTCAGGTATGAAATCTTTTCTTTTTTAGTCAGTGAAAAGCAGAAATGGGGATAAAGATAAAGATAAGGACCAGGAGATCTGGCGACCGGGAGCATCCGTCACTCGGTCTTCTGGCTGCATCCAAAATCTAATAAGAGACCCTCCCCCAAGGCCTTTGGCCTTTCATCGAGTGCACCGCCTGCAGCAATATACATCTACAAGTCTCTACCTACTTCTACGTACATCCAATGGATCCACCGAAATACTTGCCCACCGTCGACGCTGCCAATCCATCCTACAAATTAACGACCTAACCTATACGCGATCTCGTAACAAAAAGAGCGCCATGCATATCTACATGGAAATATCTTTTGCGTCGAACTAAGTGGTTTTGGAACACTCCAAAAAATCTCTAATGATTAAAATCGATAGTCATCTATATGTTCTCTCGTATTCACTTTTTAAAAAATAATTGAAACAACAAAATATGTTTTCCATGAAACTGCAGAATAATTACTTCTGGCTTGTTTCACTCTGTTTCTATTTTCTGTGATTTTGTACCGAGCTTATATACGGTATCATACTGGTATGCACGCCTGTAGGCTCGTGCACACGCAGATAGTAATTATTTATGGATTATACTGGGAACGGGTACTATATGTGTCAGCCGATAGCTCGTAGCTCCTCTCGGTTCGCCAACATTTAATGCCGCCTGCCAAATACTACGGATACTGTCCGACATTTAAACGGTTACTACTAGCAGGCTGTTAGTGCCAATCGAAGGACAAAGTGTAACCAGAATTGTCAACAAGTATCGGTGACAGCTGTGATTCTTGTCAAAAATTAATTACACCAGTTTGTGTAGAATCCGAATCCGCTTAGTGAATTGCTATTATTAGGTATAGATTAAGAGATATCAAGAAGTGCCAGTCGATGCAAACGTGACAGGTTTTACATCGGACCGATTAAATCCATCTTTGCTGCTGGAGCAAGATGATCGACTCGGATGAGTTGATCTCGCACTATATGCCCGCGTTTTATGTTTCATCAATCCTTTCGGCCATTCACTATTCACGGTAAATGTACGTTAGAAGCAATTCCCTTTCAAATCCCTCCCACACGATCAGTCGTTTATTATTGCTGGCAGAGGTCCACAAAGACGATTTTGCAGGAAATACACGTGGCCCACTATGGGATTATCGTAAGAGTTCAAAATCTTTCTAAACGTGTTACGAAACGAACGGTCTTCCACCTCCACATATTCATGAATTATTTTTAAGTGAGAATTATTTTCCATTATCAATCGACAACGACAATCTCCGCCTCTAGCAAAATGTATATTTGTAAAATCAATCCATCGTAAACAAAATTCATGTAAACTTAAGTCTCCGAAAACTCTTGCTTAGGCTCGTAATCATACCTCACTTTCATCGTTACTTACATAAAAGGTGGTTATTACCTGTAATGATTTATCGAATAAAAACGTCTTTTAACACTAAAAGCAAGGCATGAGTACGAGATTTAGGTTGTGTAACAAATAAGTAACAAATTGTCGCGGGTACGTGCAAATGCACACGTATGTTTACGCCGAATGCAAGTGCATTCACGTGGGCGCGCTGCATCGTACATCCGCATAGGCATCTGTATGTATTTTCGAATCCAATGTTCGAACGGCAGAATAGGCGAGCTCAATTCGGAGCAGGAAAATCCCGTACGTAACAGTTTCCGAGGATTACGATCCATAATACTCCGCAATTGCGCCGGTAAATCAAACGGGATTTACGAGGGCGACGAAGTTACTCTGCCTTCCTTCTTCCCCCGGAACTCGAAGAAAAGGAGGAAGATTCGCGCTTCCTCGAATTCGTTTGGACGTGAAAGAGTCTCATTTAACCGTGAATTAAAATCTAAAACCGTTTCAGCCCATAAAACCGACCCAAACCATTTCTTTTTCGCTTTAGAAGACGCGTTTGTCAGCCTGAAAAGTCAAGCACCGGATGGCAATGAACTTGTCGGGGTGAGAACATAAGAAAATTCGAAGAAAGTTAAAAATATCCAAGAAAAAGAAGAAGGAGCGTTCAGATAGGGGAAGTACATCCCAGATCCCTAGTACAATAATTGTTTCCTTTTCTTTGGCAGGAAATACAAAAATCCATTGTCGCGTCACAAGGCACTGCCGAAGATACACTAATGATGAGTTAAGACCTGTTCAAAGTAATTATTTATGACGGAAGTGTATTTTTAAGGATACCGAGGATAATTGTCATTATTTCTTGCAGTGTTCAGAGGGTTTTATCATGCATGATAAAACATGATTTTAAACATCCGAGAAAAGAAAGCCAATGAGGAGAGTGAAGGATGAACGCAAGGACCGAGGTGAGTAACCAGGGTGGTTAATTCGCAATTAAGAGGTGCGACTTGATTTGGGAATCGGCCAATTGGTGGGACCAGGTTGTCCTAGGTAAGGGTCGTCTCCAAGGCGGCTCATTCGGCAGGTTCTCGCGATTACTCACCAACAACGTAGTTCTTGTCGACGAACTGCGCGGTGGTTTGAATTCCCATTAGTGCCAGGTTGGGGTCGACCCTCGAAAAATCGAAAAATTGTTCCTTCCAGGGCGACGCTTCATAAAACGAGATCGCTCCCGAGGAAGTCGCGAAGTCCTCTTCGGAAGTTGCAGAGTCCGCTTCCGGGGAGATCGCGATGTCCGACCAAAGCTCGACTTGCTCCACTTGCTCTCTCCAGGACCAGTCACACAAACCGCACTCGATGCTGATTTTTACAAATCTACGACGATCCACAGTCTCATTGCTAACTTTCCCCACTTATGACACGCCCTGGGAATAAACTTTTCATTCATGATTTCGACATTATAGAGACCTGCGCGCGTATGACCGTATCGGTGACCGGCTTCCCTAGCTGACGAAACTTCTGTTAAAATATTATTTTTTAACCGTTCTAAGCCAACTCTCCTTTTCAGATTCCTGATCCTCCCACAACCGATTCCTTCCAACGTCTCGTGACTCCGGACATATAGTGCACCAAATCTCTGGCAAGAAGTGCTGGGAAGTCTTTCTAGCAATGCTTGGCCGTGTGCGCATGCGCGCGCCCAATCGCAAGACAACGTGCTTGGCACGAGTTTTTGGATTGACAAGAGCTAACTTCTTCGGATCTCCCGACTTTTCCGCCTTCCGGTAACCCCTTCGATGGCACAACTTAGCACAGTTAACGATAAGCAAGATATTAATTAATCTTAAAATTAATCAATTACTCTCCTAGTCGCGGTCTACCTCATCCTGGAAGAGTCAGCAGGAATTTCTAATCAAATATACGGAGCACCCGCTGTGAAATTACTAGGATATCCCCGAGAATGATGGACCACCTAGAGCCCGAATTTAATGATCTTCAACGTCGATGAAAATATTTTTTCAACCCTGATCAGCCGGGGAAATGATCGGAAAGGATCGGAAGATGACGCGCTGGGAATAGTCTTACGATACAGAACACGTGCCAAGCATCACTATGCAATAATAGTCGCGGAATGCCGTCACTATAAGCCTCGTCGAGGACCGTAGTACAACCGATATCGTTCGATATCAAATAATATTTGAATTAATCCCGCAGAGAGGAGGCGCCAGAAAATGTGAACCCGCGAAAGGATACCATCTCGACATCATTAATTCCGGCCTAAGAACGAGAAGCAGTCACCGATGATCGATCACTGAAAATCTGCACCTACGTCTGCCCTGAAGAAGCACAGTGGAGGCATTGACTTCGCTCGGTTATCATCGCATCCGATTATTAATGGCGAAGAGGCGATCACGGATTTTCCTTGCGCACTCGAGATGCTTAATTGCAATTAATCGAGGATAGCGAGAAGGCAAATGGTAGATATACTTTTAACTATGGCGGATGTTAGTTGTCGAAGTCGGCACTGAAAGCACGGATTTGAAACCGCGAGTTCGATAAACCCGATCGATCCGATAGGCCTTCAGGTGCGAATCGGCGACCTGGCAGCGACTCCTCGAGGCGCGATGTACGACCGACTACTGAGTAGAGAGACAGAACTCTCCCTCGGCTTCAGCATTGGCAACGCCGAGACTGTCGTAACTATTTTAAAACCACCGTCCTTCTGACTTGGAGCCACCGTGCGATACTCTGTTGCGCTCAGCTGTGCGACGTGGCGCTGCACCCTGCTGCACCATGCACTCCGATGCTGTATGTTGATGCAGGCTGCAGCGACCTCCTGCGTCGCGCTGCAAATTGCAGGATGCTGTGACCTGCTGCAGGTTCCCTACACCGTGCTGCGACCTCCTGTGTCGCATTGCAGATTGTTACACCCTACTGCGACCTAGCGCACCGCACTGGAGATTGTTGCACGATGCTGCGACCTGCTGCAGGTTTCCTACACCGTGCTGCGACCTCCTATGGCGCATTACAGATTGTTACACCGTGCTGCAACCTCCTATGTCGCATTACAGATTGTTATACCCTACTGCGACCTAGTGCACTGCACAGGAGATTGTTGCACGATACTGCGACCTGCTGCAGGTTTGCTACACCGTGCTGCGACCTCCTGTGTCGCATTGCAGATTGTTACACCCTGCTGCGACCTTGTGCACCGCACTGGAGGTTGCTGCACGATGCTGCGACCCTCCATCCGTCAAACGGGGCGATTATAACTTATTAAGAAGCGTCTAATGTCAAAATATACTTAACGTCCCTAGATCAAACGGGCACACTCATTTGACGTACAACCTCGACTTAATAACTATATAAATTCCGAATGCTACGGTCGAAACCTTTCGATCCGACTTTTTCTGGTAGCGTTCCCTGGTGGATTCGTGCCAAGGTTTTGGGCGCGCCATGGTCCTCCTTAGGCTTGTCCGGACCACCGTCGGGTACTTTTGGAGGTTAAACCTTTTTTTTTTTTTCCCTCCTGCGGAAAAGACGCTTTTATTTCATATTTTACCGGGAAGTCCTGGTCAGTCACCGAAACGTTTATAGCCCGAACACGCAATTCGCCGCGAAAGCCGCTCCAGCGACTGCGAGAAGCGTCGACGAACCCTCCAAATGGTGGAGGGAGAAAGTGGCCAAGAAAAGTGGAAATAAGGGGCGTCGTAAATTTAACCAAGGACGCGGCCAGGGAAAAAGGAAAAGTCCCCCAGATGGCGGAGGGCCGACGCGGCGACGCACGGGCGTTCATTGTGCATATTAATTTTCTTGAATTATTAGTTCCATTAACTCCACCCTGAAGAGGTCGAGGAGTTTCTGATGCTTCAAGGGTAGACATGGGAAAAGGTGCGACACTCCGTTACCACAAAGATGGAATGCCTTTGACATGGGATTTCTCTTTTTTTTTTTTAACCCTACCACCCACATAGATATCAGTCATGGCTCTAGATCCAAGATGGTGACTCACTTTTAAAACGGAGACTCGCTCGAATTTCCCGTGAATATCCAGTGTCCACGATGGTTTAATTAAAGACGAGCCCTGATATCTTATAAATAGTTCTCGTATCGGCATCGGTCTGCGAATTATTTGCAAAGTATTTCTTCGAATAATGCCGAAGAAATATTTCGGTGTCGTCATCGTTATCGATTTGCACAGATTTGTCGTAACGAGTTATCGCACGTGTGACCACGTTTGTCCAGCTGAATTAGTAGCTCTTATCCGGCACTTCGGAAATTGTCTTTCATACATATAATCCGCTTAATAATAACGGCGAATATAGATAAGGAAATTTTGTTACTTTAGTGGACCCGCAAATTGTCCTTATAATTGTTTCATGATTTCGGGAAGGTTAAAAGCCACTTGGTCGAGGGATGATTGGACGAATGACAAAAGACACCGTCTCCTTTCTTAAGCGGTCCCTCTTGGAAGCGTCTGCGAAACCGAGAACCAAATCCCGCACTTTGATCACCCGACGAGAGCGAGGCACAAAGCTCGACAAAGAGACTCCTCGATTTACCCAGAACCGAGTAATTCTCGTCTGGGCCGAGTGAAAAGCGTCGCGTGACCAAAATTCTGCTCCCTCAATTATTGTCTAGGAACGAGAGGAGTCATACCCTTCTACGAATTTTCAAATTCCGACTAAAGGATCACGTGAATAGAACGTTTCCTAGTGAGCTTCGCGACCTCGCCTTCTCTTCCCGGGATAATAAAAATCCTCTTTTTTAATACAAAGTCTATGTCACCATTAAACAGAGATGATAAAGCCTAGGAACTAATTGAACATATGTGATGAATCCTACACTAAGAAAAGAAAAGAAAAAAGTCATTGAACCAAAGAAATATATATATACATTTCTTTGGTTTGTTACATTTTTTCTCTCTACGTGTATGAGATTATCTAACGGGAAGGATAAGAATCTCGTTCTTTTAATACAAAGTCTAGGGTATAATTGAACAGAGACAATAAGGCCTATGGAACTATAAATTCGCTTTGAATCGCGTTTGACGCAGGGCGGAGCCTTTCTTCATTTCTAAGCAGGAATGGAGTAATTCGGAGCGACTGTCACTCAGGATCTGTCAAAGTCGGCTGTCAGTGGGCCGTATAATTAGTCCGGACGAGTGGTAGCATCGAGGGGTGTCAATGACATCGGCAGAGACTTTGACACATGGCCGATGTCGATGTCGATGTCGATGACGACCTCAGGCTGCGCCGAGTAGCGAGTAGCTGACTGGCGAACGACGCCTGGCGTCGCCCTTCCTCTTCGACTCCCAACGACGTCATGTTTCTATTTCTGCTCCTGTAGGCGCAGCATCTATCTTTAAACCACGGATCGGTACAGTCCAGTGTCGCGATATCGTTAAATCCATTACACAATTGAACGCATAAGAAGAGGCCCCAATTTCGAGAAATCCTCCCCGGAACTTTGTGCCACTTTTTATGCTTTCATGGATTAAACAAATTCAGAATGTAATAAGCCCCAAACGTCCCAACGCTTCTTAATTAAATCTCATAACGAAACTGCACGTATCCCGGATTTGTATAAAATGGAAAAGGTTCTATAAGATCCTACTTTAGGAGAATATCGCGAGCGGTCGCAGCTAAAAGAATTAGCGTGCCTTTAAACGTATCTGGATTTGGACCGAAAGAAGCGATTGCCGAATTTAATCATTCAGTTGATGAAAATAGATAGCAACAGCTCGGGAAAAGGGACCGATGCCATTTACAAACCGAAAGTTCTTTGGCGTCTCGGTTAAGGTGTCAGGCTTACTTGACAACCGGAAGTTTAGCGATGATCTAGAATTCATCTCTTATTCCTTGCGGCGCTTCATCTTCTAATCTGTGACATTCGCAGGAATGTTCGGGTTGAGGAACTTCCTCCATACCTGGTAATACTTTGACTGTGCTACGAATTCGCTTGCTCCACTCCTAGAATGTGAAAGTAATGTTTTAAGGGATATTAACTGCGTAATGCTAGGGAACTTACGTGGAACAGCGATACGTGATAACAGAATATATGCTCAGGCAGAAGATTGTCTCGGGTGAAAGATTGCCCTGCTCTTGAAATTGCGAAGGCCTCTTCGTCGTGCTCCCTTGCCCAAGTAATCTTCTCAACGAGATCTGATAAATCTTTCTTTACTGGCACGTAGTGCTTATTGCGTTCGAGTTGCTTGTAAAAGAACTCATAGTATTCTGAATCTTGCTTCAGAACTAAAGAGCCTCCGGCGAGTAAATATGGAAATCTGTACGCAGCAACCGATCCATCGATGTTCAATTGATATTTGTACTGAAAAGTACCATTATTAATTGCTCTGTTATTCGAATGTTAAATTGTGAGGCCTGTTAATTACTTTGAAGAATTCAAATAGTGAAATGTGCTTCTCTCCTGGACCGTATTTATCCATTTCGTCTCGGAAAAAGAAGAAGTTTGTGATGGAAGCATTGATGAGATCTGGATGCTTCCGGGCTATGTCTATTAAATCCAGACGTTCTCTGCGCGAGTCGCGTCCTCTCCAGAAAACTTTATCGATCTTCGAATCCCATGGTGTCTTGACGTTACTTTGCACCGATAACATGTCCAACATTACCCTATTTTTGTAAAATATTATTACTGCAGCGTAAGATTAAAATGTTAATGTTTGTACCGGGCAGTCTGTAAAGTTTTACGGTTCTGTCTACCTTCCCATGTTTTCAATCGATGATTCGGTAATGTCATATGTGGGCATCACGATATCGATGGTATTGTCCGAGCCACACCATGAGAAAACAGGATATGCTGGACCACTTTTCTGCACAAGAGGCCAATCCCCTAAGTTAACGAAAAGTTCAATATCGGGGAGCTGCACTTTCCGTGCAAGTGACATTAATATAGCATCTGCGAACAGTTTGAAACCTACGTGTTGCCCGTAGCACTGTCTGTAAATCTATAATATCTAAATTAATATTTAATATTAATGAATGGTACCTATTATACCACACTAACGTGCATATTTTATTATCGTACTTTGTTGTCCTTAACGACGTAATGGCAAATACTGACACTATTTGGTCTATGATACTTTTTAATTATTTCTTCTCTAATCATCTCAAAGTTAACGCTATTAAAAGGTTTCAGATCATTGATAATTTGACTATGATTGCATTGAGTGCACTTATTATTTTTCAGCCATTCGGTAACAGATTGTTCTGGGCAATAACATTCTTCTTCGTATACGGGTCCTGAAAATATTTCCAGTTAGTTAAACCTTATCTACATTATTTCTATCTTGTGTTACCTGAAAATGTCAGAGGTGAGCTTGATACGTGCTTTCCTTTAAATTTGATACTAATTTTCATCTTGAAGCAAGTATGATACAATCGGTACCGAACTATAAAAACTCCATCTATGCAGTCTAACGTCTGTACCCAAACTCGACAGAAACCGCCATCGGCACCTGTGCCATGTATTTCCGCAGTAAGAGATTCTTCTCCAGGAGATTTAGAAAGCCTGAAATATGTATGTAAAAATACATCTCTAATTAACCCAAATAAAAGCTACCCAGTTTTTAAAATAAATGTCCTACAACTCGACCAAGATTCTATAATAGAGAGAAAACGATGGTTTACATAAATGTCTATACTAACGCATTTCCATTAGTATCATACAAACGAACGAAGATATATCGTGCTCGCATGACAATTTGTTCAGGATTTAAACCGGGTCCCCATAAGGACGTTCTTGACAAATCAACCACCTGTTCTTCACCGACACAAGTGCTTGGATCCCACAGGGCGAAGAATATTAAAAGTATAAACATCATTTTCATTCTTTCAGTGCACAGCGTAGAGTTCTCTACATCGCCAATTTTCACTCGACTACTTTGACGTGAATTTCCACGTATTGGGTTCTCATGACTTCTTGCAAATTCATTTCTATAAAAATAAATAGGAGGATGTTTTACGGCTCCATTTTGATCTTAAAATCGTAGCCACTGTCTCTCCGCAGTTTTCCTCTTAAGTGCTCTTATGTATCAAGGATCTTTCGAGAGCGCTGCGTAGACCTTCCCTGTTATCAAGAAACTCGGTAGAGTATCGAGCCAAATACATTTGAGCGAGAAACTCGTGGTGCCGATTCCTAAAACGACGCATCAAGTTGTGACAAATAAATATTCATGACACGCAGAGATGAGTTGGGAGATTGCTCACGGGTTGGGTCGCGCGATCGCGTTCTGTGCTGCCCTCGGTGGAGAATGCAGGCGGCTCGTGCATTCGCTCGCTGATAACCCCCAGTGGCGGCCAACTCAGGGATTCTCATCTTTGCTCCCAATTCATCTCTGTGATAGCAAACATCCTTTAACACTTTCAACATCAACAATTAAACTATGTACTTCATTAATTCAATGACATTCATTAATCCTAAATTTATGGTATAATGGAGACTGTGATACACATTTCATGAATGAAATCGAGAGTAATGTAAATTTTCTTTTTAAACTTTCAATTGTGTGTAAATAAAAGCGGAGTTATCGCAAGCTGGCGAGAACTGTCAAGAAAAGAAATTTACGTGTCCGACTTAAGATCAGAATTCCCAGATAGTTGAGTAAATCCCAGATGAGGGATTTTTTTTCCATACATTCTTCCCCAATCTCGCGTCGTTCAATTAAAACAAAGTACTTCCATGCAGCAAACTGTGGTAACTCTTCGTACCTAGCGAAAATAATTTTCTTTAAGGGAGCGATTTATCCGAAATTGTTTATCGTGTGAATGCGATTCATAATTTGATCGCACACATCAAAGACGCTCGCAAAGATCGCTCGAGAGTGTGGTTATGGTTGCCACTGAGAGCAAAGAACGCCAGCAGGACGCGGCAGGGGAATACTGCAGAGTAAAATAATTAGTTTCTTTTTAAACGAGCAATCCTTTTTCGGTAGCGTCTTCGGTATCGATATAATGCATCATTTCACCGAAAGTCAATCGAGTAAATCGCCCGAAAGTGTGGTTATGGTAGCTTCAGAATCCAATGATCGCCGCCAGAGGACAGCAGGGCTTGGCTACGCCCTGTCCAAGATGGCGGCGTCTAGCCAATAGAGCTCGGCCTCTGGCGGAGTGGGGAGGAAACTTAGGACCGTGATTGGTCGACATCCGGTTAATCTAAATAGCGAATTTAAGACCGCGTTGCGAATACGGCCCGAATTCATCGTACTCGGAGTCTTTAATGAGAGTAAATACCGTAAGTATGTAAGTATTAAACTCGATTTTTCGGGTAATTCGAGTGCCAAGTTACGCAAATAGAAGGAGGACGCAGCGCTGTCTTCGCCGCTTTGGCGCCTTTCTCGCAAACACAACTAAACGTACTTTTTGTACTTGATTTGTAAGATCGAAACTGGTAGATATGGAACACAGGAGACGGCGATACCGATGAACGCTAAAAAATAAGGAAAAACATACGTGAGGCGACCTTAATGTCGAAGTCGGTTATCTTGCGCTTCGTGTTTAAGAGTTTACACGACCTCGGCTGCTCCACCATGTGTCTCGGCGACCGGTCGTCGAAATCGCGCGTAAAAGTGTGGTTATGATCGCTCCTGGGACTGAAGATAACATCACCTGAGCGCGCGGCACGCGTTGCACCGGTCTGCGTCCGCAGGAAAAATGGCGGCGCTTTGATTAGCGATTTGAAACCCTTATTACGGAGGATTTCCCGCTATTAAAACCCCGCGATGGACATCTCGAGTATGCTCGAGGTGGAGGTTAAGGAGGTGAAGGAAGCCGAGAGCAAGGAGAACGGTAAGACTTCCGTGCTGCCTGCTATTTGCCTACTTTGCGCGGCAACCTAACCTCTGTTATCCCTTTTAGTGACACCCCAGCTTCCAAGATTAATATACATCCCGTCCTCGGTAACACAGGAGGAGAGCGATTTCTACAGGGTTATGTTTGGCACCGGTAGGTATATTAACTTGGTAAACGTGGAAATTCAATGTATTCAATTCGGTCATGACAAAGGGTAGACTTCCGTGTATTCGGTCCTGTGTTTCGGCACCTGCGCTCATGTTTTACAAAATTTTTGTGGGATAAATGCATCATAGTCGTTGTTCGTTGCAGACATAGCCTCGGTTCGCTTTCGTAGACTTCATTGTACAGCCTGCGACGTGCACATAGGCTCTGCTCCCTCTCAGGCTCATAATATGTTTGAGCACCCGATCTTGCGTACATTGCTGTGTGCGCAATGTCGAGATTTCTATGGAGATGGAACCTTTGAGCAAGGTAAAAAATGGATACTTGTAGTATCAAAATTTATAGACACAAGATGTATTTTCATTTATGTTAGTTATTTTTGGAATATTATATTTAACCGTTAAAAGCATTTTCTTTGAAATATCTTTTTGCAGGGGATGATGCTACAGACATGTTCTGTAGATGGTGTGCTAATGGAGGGAACTTATATTGTTGTTCCTTCTGTAGTAATACTTTTTGTTACAAATGTATAAGAAGAAACTTTGATAGCATAGTAAGGAAACGAATTGCAGCAGTCGAGAAGTGGAAATGCTTCGTCTGTGACCCCAGAGACTTGTACTCAGCCCGAGCTATCTGTTGGGCTTTGTTACAACATGTCCAAACCGTGACGAGGTAATAGACTTGAATTTCATGTTACTGTATGTACATTGAGGACATATCATTATTGCTTACAACGTTTCCGCACAGAATTCTGCAAAACGACAGAAAAATGACAGCTGACGAAATTGAGCAGAAGATGAATCTAGACGAATCGCAGTGCTGTCCTCGAAAGCGAAAACGCAAGCGACGGCGGACGGGTTCTAATTCCGAGGAAGATGATAAAACATATGTACCCGGATTAGAAGATGGACCTCTGAAGCGAAAATACAGACGAAAAAACACTACTACTAATGGTGCAGTGAATCATACTCGTCCTCAGTCTGCTTTATCCGTTAGATCTTCAAATTCCCTGTGGTCTTCGGATTCCTTCCGGTCTACGGATTCCTTTCGCTCTCCAAATGCATCGACCGAAAGAAGAGTACCTGAAGAGGACTATAATCTACCCTTGCTGTCGGCCATTCCATGCGAGCAGACAATGATCGAAGGGGAGTCGGAAGATCTTACGACGGATACACCTGCTACGATGCCACATTCTATCTCAGAAGTCGAAAAAACCCCTCCAGCAAAACTAGACAAACTGCCAACAATTAGTGCAGTTCCAACGGTTAACCTACTACAGACACCATACAGGGCACAGCTTTCTCAGGCTCGGAGAATTAAGACTATCCTCCCTACTTCGCCTGCAGGAGCATCAATGGTGAGTCGTCCTGTAACTTCTGACTTATCTTCTGACTTCAGCCCGATCCCTGTAACGCGTCAGCAGGCTTGTCGAAACTCCTTAATATCGCCGGCGCGAAATACAACTCAGAAACGAGCTCGGGTCTTGCTTCCGAAGTCTAAGAACACATCGAGTAGCACTCCTAACGCTAGCAGTGTCATTGAGATCGAGATAGCCAGTGACTCCGATGAAGATGTCTCGATGGTTCCCGAGATCACCAGTAAAGAACCTGTGCAGGCTGCGCAGACTGCTCAAAGTTCTACCACTGCAGACACCTCCAAGAACATCTCTAATGATGCTACCAACAGCGTCAGCAGCCCTGCCAACAATGCTGCAAACAATGTTCCAAATAATGTTGTGAGTGACACAGCTAATAGTACTGCCAATACCAATGCCAAGAACAAGCGAACCCCTTCGGACAGTGGTATAGTATGGGATATAGTGAAACAATCGCTTATAAAGATTCCTACAGAGTCATCGGAGAAAGCGTTCAATCAATCATTGTTCAAGCAGAACCGCGAGATCGATCTGATAATCGTCGAGCTGAAGAACAAGCTTAACAAAATACTCACTACTAAGAGGGGTGAGGTTGACGAGAGCACTTTGAGTACAGGACGGGCCAAGACCAGATGCATCCATCGTGCCATCAACAGAGCTATTTCGCGACTTGCATACGTTAATAACGAGATGATAAAAAAGTACGACGATCTGAAAAGATCTGAGACTAATCAGAAATTAAAGAATGCTAAACAATCTGATTCCAATGTCACGGAGAAGACAAACAAGAATGACGATGAGGTGCAATTGACCCTGGACATGACCTGCGTCAGAGATTCTGACACCGAAGGGCAATGCGAAGAGAGTGACGAAGAGACAGACATGACGATTAATGACTTCGAGGAGATAATTAGACCGTTTGCTGAAAAGGACACCATAGAGCGAAGCGTTAATACAGAGCCTGCAAAAGTGATGGATAAGTCTACACAAGCATTCGACGTTATTCTGAGGGATTACGAGAAATGCATTGGTTATGCGTTACTCATGAAGGCTGATTACGACCCTAAAAGGAAAGTGCAGCGTATGAAACCGGTACAAGTGCCCAACGAGCACGCTGGCAAGTACGAGGAGCAGTTCATTTTCTACCTGCAGCATATCGAAGACAATGGGATAGAAACGGAAGACTGTAAAGGGTTGCCCGATCCTAACGAGACGCCTTTGAAGGACTTAATAGAAGCGAACTCTCCATTTATCTCGGAGATGCTGCAGAGCATCGGTGCATCGTCACCGGTGACGAACACAGCCATCGTGCTGGGGTCTAGTGACGAAGGCAACGGAGCGAAGGGTGACAACACGTTAGAGTGTATTTCATTAGAAAATATGGACGCTGAAACTGTAGAAGAAAGTATCGAGGTCATCGAAGTGTCAGAAATACAAGAGGAAAGTGCTACGTCTAATGATTCCGATGCGATGGCTGTGACAGAGTCTGAAGATAAATCCGAGAAAAGTCCCAGCGATGATATTCAAGTGCTGGAGAGTGAGACAGCGAAGGTGGCGGATGTCTCTTCTGAGAACATTGATAAGACAAAGGACGAAGAAACTATACTTGCAGTGCGTACACTTATCGACTCAGCTAATGGTGATAAACAAGTGGAGCAAAAAGACAATGTGTGTACGGAGGAGGATTACAGCGAAAATGATTAGATGGTCAGGTGTGTATATCATTAAGATTCTCAATTGTTGTCTGATACGCTTTGTTGCAGCAGATACTCATGTCACAACGCACTTTCCCGCCTGAACGGTGCAAGTTATCGAAAAATCGTTCGGACAAAAGTTGTTTGGGACGTTACGGCAAACAACATTTGTGGAAAACATTTTTCGATGACGTTCACCGTCCAGCTGGAAAATTGCGTTCACACCGAGCATAACGGCTGCGATTACCGCGTGTCGGAGGCGGCCATCTTGAATTGTGTTCCCAACTCGAAAAAATTATCCGTCGGATATTTTTCTTTCGTGGCTCACCACTTGTACTTTATTTCCCGATATTTCCTCGATATATGCAAGACTTGACGTTAATTTCGGTAATTCGCAGTTGTATGTACAGAGCATCGAGACGACTTTTGAAATGTTTTGCGCCGCACCGCACCTCGCTTCTGTTAAAAGGACGCGATAGGCTGTAAATAAATGTAGGACCGCTCTTGGCTTGATAAATACGTGTCAACGAGAGTCGCATACTCAACGGAGGAGAAAAAAAAAACAATTGTACACGACTCTGTCAAAATTAAAAATAAGAAACTTTCGCGATGAGTCGCCGTGTCCTTTGCGCCTCGCCGAGTCGTCTCTAAGGTGTCATTCTCGACCGTGAATATTTGTAGAAATTTAATGATAATTGATATATATGTACACACACATATATATATATACAGTATATATATAATAAGATACGAAAAAATATGACGTTGTACTACCTATACGAGCGTGTAGGTAAGAGGTGCAAGAAGTTTTCGTACGCGTCTCGTGTCCTCGTGGCGAGGGAACTTTGTAATTACGCCAAATCTATTAATTTTCTTTTCGCGCGACGCATTCGCGCATATACAAATAGAAGACCCTTTTCTATTGGTAACACGTCTCTCTGGGAGTCCCCGGTTCTTTACTTAGTCGTAAATAACGAATAATTAATGATCTGCCGTAACAATAAATTCACGAAGACGAAAGCCGTACTATTGACAGGCAGAACCCAAATTTCCGACGAAAAGCGTTCCACTTGTTCATCAAAGATTCGTTTTAAAAGAGATATGCTTCGAAACCACCCCGAGCCTATCCAGTCAGTAAATCCTACGTCAAATCCCTAAATTCTCCATATTATCCACATACGCACAGAGCTTAGTAAAAAAAAAAAAAACATCTAAAAATGTTTACCTCGACGAAAAGTGGTCCATTCGTTAATTGAAAAATCATTTTAAAAGAAATATGCTTTGAAGCTACCCCTAGTCTATCGAACCAGTAAATCCTAGGTCCTCCGTAGGTCTATCGAACTGATTCCAGTCTCAGCGAAAGCCTTCGAATCCCTAAATTCTTTATATCATTATTCGTAAACTTTCGCAGAGCTTGGTAGAAAAGTGCATAAAGAAAGTTTACTTCGACACGTCCTGTTTCTCGATGGCAAATTTAATAACGACGCGATCGATCGATTACAGGTGATAGTGTAACATCAAGGTTGCGGTGGGTAGTATGTACGCGGATTGCTCGCAGGAGGTGGGGCGTTGCTGCTCTGGAAATATGTCGAGTTCGGCGTGTAAGGGTATTGCTGGAATGGCGGCTGTGGCCCTGCCGGGGTCGACGGCGCCGACCTGACCGACCCGGACGACCCCATGTGATGCATCGTCGGCACAATGTGGTTTATCGCGTTGACAGTGGGCGGTGGTGGAACGGAGATGTTGGTTGGAGGAAACACCGGCGGGTAGTTCGAGTTTCCTGGGGTGTAGTTGGAAGGGTACGGAGGAAAGTGTGCTGGAACGTCCAACTGCTTCATCCCGTCCGTGGAGTCTGTGAGAGCGCAGCCATTTGCAGAAGCTGCACCGAGGACCTCAGCCTTGCTCGGTGCAGGCTTGCCGGGTGTTACTATACAGGCTGAAATGTTAATATAATGTAATAACAAGGTGGATAAAGTTCTTACGGTGGCATGAAAATGGTTTCCGAGGGGTCTGTGAAACTTTTCTTCGAACTGGGTGCATCGAATAGTTTGACACTACCACGTGAATTTGGAAGTTAGGAAAGTCCTACCACTTGTGAGATTTAAATCTTTTCATTAAATTAATTTTAAATTAATGAATTTTTAATTATTAGCGAAATTTTAAACAGTTTGGTACACCTAGTTTGTAGAACTTGGACTAGCTAAATGGTACTAACCGTTTGGCGTGTTCGATGCAGAGTCCACGATGGAAGGTGCAACGTTCCGCTCTCTGTTCGGCTCACCTGTTGGTACCACCGGAGGGGAATCCAGGGGTTTAGCGTTGTTTGTCTGGGAGTATAAATCTAACACTTGGTGACAGATGTCTGAAAGATGAAAAGTACAATGGTAGTTTCCTGGTGAATTAGGATCTCTTGTGGGAAAGGATAGAAACCTTCTAGGAGGTCCATCGTTACGTCTTCGACGAACATATCCCACCAGCGTAAATGCTTTGGTTGTCTTCCGTTCCAGTCTAGTACTTCAAATTTACGAAGCTTTCCAGCTAAGTACATTAGAGCGACTGCTATGATCTCAGGTTCCCATTGCAGCGAAAGAGTGGTGCATAAACTGGAAGATGGGAATACATTAATCATTACAACAAAGGTTGTTTGATTAACGTCTAGTTAACACAGCCTCACCTGTCGTTTACAAATGTCCAAGCCATTTGTACCATTTTTTGTAATTTGTTTTTGTCCCCTGAAGTGAGAAAGTGGAAGAATTGTAGTAAATATTCATAATTATTGGAATGTTGGTTAAAATTGAAACCTTGTCGATACCTTTTAAGCATTTCGCATACTTTAGAAGGTAGCTATAAGGATGTTCCACTTGCAAGTCGAACTTAATTGTCTGTAACAATATCCTTTCAAGCGTCATCACTTCTTCCTGCAAAATCAATGTATTTTTATCTTGAATGAAAAAGGCGTCATACGATTACAAAAAATTAAGTGAAAAACTGTACCTTTGGATCTTCCCCAAAAGTCATGAACTTTTGCTCGGTAAGTAAAGTCTTTGCCGTTCTTATAATATCTTTGCACTTTTTTGGTGTTTCTTCAACTTTACCAGCCAAAAGAAGGCAACAACATGCAGTCACCTATAAAAATATATGTATTTTTTCTATGCTATTTTGAAATTAGTTTCCAGCAATATTTACAAATGGCCTAGCAATTATCTCTTGATAAATCGATCTTAAGAGGGATAGCCAACGGCTTGACGTATACGTTAACGTTAGCGATAGCATTAAAAATACTTACGTAACGTGGAAAACTTTTGAACGAATGGAACATGTAGAATCGCTGAAAGTAGACGACACCAGTTGCCATCGTATTGTATCCCAGGTCCATTTTGGTGCCCGTGTCGATGATAAACCGTGCACCTTCCTTACGGTATCGGCATTCGGTTTCGTAGTTGATACCATCTTGAATCGATGGGGTATTCCGGAGTTCCTTTTTCTCATAGTACCAGCATGGCATTTTCAAATTTTACACTACAATTAATAGAATAATCGACGGTGAGTAAGTAATAAAACAACATTATGTAGTATTTCTTTAAGACTGTACATAGAAAATTGAGGACACTTTTACCACTCACAAGAACTTCATACATTCGTATTATTCACAGCACATGAACAATATTTGGCATATTTCGTTACAGAACTAAAATCATCATAAAAAGTGTGTTCTTAACCAACAACTATCGCAGGAAATTCTTACATCTCGCGATCATGACAATCATCACCTCTCCGCCAAAACAGAACTTAACTAAATTGATTTCTTAAATTACCCACGCGGTTTTCACCACACGGAAAACTGGATCGACAAAATCAATGTTTAAGGTTAGTTTCTATTACGCGTTTATAAGCTTGTTTCTCCTACATCCTATTCAACGGATCCACAAGAAATTCACTAGGGCTGGATTAACCAATCAGATCATCATAACCTATATTTCAAATCCTGATCGTGAAATATTTACAATGTTAAGTGCGCTTTTTATAAAAAATTATACACAATGTCTGTTTTATTATTAATCGTTCAATGCACATTAGAAAAAGTAATAGTAGCAATTGAAGTTTGGTAAAAGAAACTTAAAATAAACATATGGATCAGTAGTGTTGATATGTTCATTGCCGCACAAGGTTACATTTTAAACTCGACGTCGTAAACGGAGCTTAAAATACCTCAAATGCGGCTCATATATCTGTTCACGTTTTCATCATTTCCATAACGTTAAGCGCTTATTTTCAAAACATCACAGACTGACGGGAATACATTTCTATGCCATTAAAACTTTATCTTCTCTATACTCAGAAAACCGAGTTGGTAATTTCTGACACTAATCGTATACAAGAAAAATAAAGGCATTTGTTATGACAAAATGATGCTAAGTCATCGATCTAAATGTGGCTAAAGCCACACTGATTGATTTATAAAAATACTTTTGTACAATCACTGCATTAAAAATTATTCGGAATCAGAGATTTTTAAATGCAAATTTTCCTTACGAGTTAATATGAACATTTGACTTTGTCAAAATGTATTCCAAGATCATAATGTAGTTGTAATTCTCCTTTGATGGTTTTATCAGTCTTTGAGAAACAGTCTCTTTTGAATCGACACTCTCTACAGTTATTTGTCTGCATGTGTACCTATAACACAAGCATAGCATATAAATTATAAATCATTACTTTAAACATATGGAACATTACAAGACGATATGAAAATAAAAATTATTGCCTGAAGTATTTGCATCTCCCATCCTCTGGCTACAATTAGGGCACTTTAAAGAGCCTTGAACTTTTTCATAATCTGCCAAACAGAACTGGTGCATTATAGTCTCACAATTGTTGCATCTTTTACCCTACATGCCAGGTAAACAAAAAAAGTACTTCGATTATTTCTTATTTATATATTTTTCTTGATGCTAATAATGTAGATTACTTACATAAAATATAATTTGTCTACATAGACAGCATGTATTCAGAGGTCCATCGTTAAGTGTTTTAAGGTACGTTATTAATTCAACGATACTTCTCACACCAATGTAATAAGAACCTTCCTGTAATGAATGCTCGGTAATGAGAATATTTCTGAACTCCTCCCATACCCAGTTAATCCAGACTTACTTTAGAAAATAACCATCTCTGGGCAATCATGTCTTTAAGAAACGCATCACCATCGTGTTTAGACATCGATTGTTTTAACGAGGGGCAAAAATTAAGGCAATCGATGCTCGATGCGCAACTATCTGGTGACGTAACGATTTTATGGAGTACTTTTTTTATTAATTCCAACTGATTGGCCGGTAACTCCATCTGATATCTAAATAATATATTTCAGGAGTAATCAATGATTTTAACACGATTAAATCTTAAGTCAAAAGATAAAAATGAGGCTAATAGCATAATTACAAACTTACCGAGTCATATCATCCTGTACGGCATTTGTAAGTATCCAATATTTTTCTCCGGTATGTTCGCAATTTGCACTTTTTATAACCAGCGACAATCGCTGCAGCTCTTTATTTATTTCAGTAATGTACGTCTGAGTTGGTCTATTGCTTTCTAAAAAAGAGACATAGTTCAAAACGACCAACAAAACACGTGTACAATACTATGCATGAACCATTGTATTTTGTACAATGTAAAGTATGGTTTGAAATTACATTAAACGCTACACACCAAATATTTTAATAATCAGTTCTCGAGCTTCCTGGTCTGACATCGTACCACGATCTATGACCGCTTGAAATAACTTACAGTAACGGTAATCTCCCATCTTCTCAAATTTAAATATTATAACAAAGTTTAACAGGGTTCTAGGTTATCCAATTCCAGCAGGACTTCCAAGGACTTCACTGCCATATTTTATTTAACCGTCATTTTCAATAAAAGAACGTTATTGGACCCATTCGCAATGAAGTTTCAGAGCCGCTGGTGGAAACGATCTACATTCCGATTGGTTAAAACCAAAGAAAAGTTTCCCTAGTGAAATCGTTAGCCAATCAGAATTCTTATTTGCAACTTGTACAAAAAAATGCACATATGTATATTATTAAATATTACGGTAAATAATCATGCGGTCAAGGGAAAATCGATAATTGCAAGAAATAAACGAAAGTACCTTCCGAATTCTGGCAGGATATTAAAGAAACGGTTCCGACATCATGCACTTCGAACAAATTGCTGGCACTTTGCACATTGTTAAAAATGGCAAAAGCAATTCCAGTAATAATTTCAGCAGTAAATAATTTCTACTTCATTCCAGGTAATAATCAAACAACGCCACTAAATTTTTGCTGAAAGAGCGAAATAGGCAGGAAATATTACCAAAATTCAAATATAGGAAGTTGGGAAATTCTAGTATTGGAAGTTTAAACAAGTAACATTTTAGAAGTAGTATTAAAATCTTCACACGGAATAAGAATTACTCACGGTTAATTGAAATCATTGAAAACAATGCGAATATTGTTGAAAACATTCAATTCTCATAAATTCCCAAGGAATTTAATCATCGGTTATATTCTCATTCTCAATTATATTACCGGGTAATATAACGGACTAAAAATTTTAGTTACACAATTAACGATTAATCGTAGCGTTTTGTAATCCGTGAAGCCTAAGCCGAGTTTTACTTTGTCAATTAGTTTAAATTATAAAAAACAACTGGAATGTTATGCAAAAAAAATTCACTTTTCATAAATTCCGACAAATTCCCAAGGAATTTAATCTTCGGTTACATTACCCGGTTAAAAATGTAGTTACGTAAAAAACGATTAATTGTAGCGATTCTTAATCCGTGAAGCCTAAACCGAGTTTTAATTGGTCAATTAATTGAAATTATAGAAAACAAGTGGAATGTTATACAAAAAAAATTCACTTTTCATAAATTCCGATAAATTCCCAAGGAATTTAGTCGTCGGTTACATTACCCGGTTAAAAATGTAGTTACGTAAAAAACGATTAATTGTAGCGATTCTTAATCCGTGAAGCTTAAACCAAGTTTTGATTGGTCAATTGGTTGAAATTGTAGAAAACAACTGGAATGTTATACAAAAAAAAAATTCACTCTTCATAAATTCCGATAAATTCCCAAGGAATTTAATCGTCGATTATATTACCCGGGTAATACAAGGGACTAAAACTCTAGATGTATGTAAAAAGAGCAGATGACGACGCACCGATGTTCAGCGATTCTGGAATTTCATGGGAATTTTTCTCGCGTACAAACAGATTCGCGTGAGAAATGTTACATTGTTGCGAAGTCGCGTAACTGGTAAACATTTGGAGGCTTATATGAAAGTTTTATCGCATGCGAAAGTTGATGGTATGAACTCGAGAATCGGGTCCCAGCCTCCGTGCGGATTGTCGGCTGGCGATATTCCAAACCCCGCCTGAAGATATCTCCTCGAGGGAGTGGAAGAAGGTCCAACCAATCAAAAGAGGTTCGCAGCTGGTCGGGGGAGGTCCATGGTTCGACTCCTCCTACGGGAACCCCTCGCTCCCCTGGGATCGAGCGGACTCGAACAGGGAGGTCCCTTTTGGTCCTCTTTCGGCATCCCTCGACTTTGGGACTCCTTCGGGACGACGAGGTGGGAGGAAAGAAGGTCGGCCCGATGATAGCTCCGGACTAGACTCCGCTTTAGTCTCCCGGAACCGTCCTTCTATCCGCTCGGTCGCTCCGACTCGTCTTCCGGTCCTCCGACTTTCGCCACCTTGGATCTCGCGTGACCATCCGGATGGCCCGATGACAACGGGAGCTGAGAACCTTTCCGACACCCTGGGAATTGCTGCGACAAACTTGCGGGAACGGGAAACAATTGTTAGGGCTCAGAGAATAAGAAACGATTATTGGAGCTGCGAGAATGTGAAATGATTTTTGGAGGTGTGAGAATAAGGAATAATTGTTTGAGGTGCGAGAACGAGAAACAATTGTTAGGGCTGAGAGAATAATAAACGATTATTGGAGCTGCGAGAATGAGAAATGATTTTTGGAGGTGTGAGAATAAGGAATAATTGTTTGAGGTGCGAGAACGAGAAACAATTGTTAGGGCTGAGAGAATAAGAAACGATTATTGGGGCTGCGAGAATAAAAAGTAATTTTCGGAGGTGAGAGTAAGAAACAATTGTTGAAGGAGGCTACGAGATGCGAATGCAGTTTATGGATCGGTAGCGTATCCGCGCCAAGATCATTTTGGAATTTGAAAGACTGGAGAATTCCGAGGTGGGGTCTAAAAGTGCACTTCAAGGATCAACGATGAACCAAATATCGTGCTGTTAGTTTAATGCATTGTTATTCGTGACGATAGAAATTGGAAAGTGATCCAGTGCCTCGAGCAGGGTGCAAGATTTCTGGTTACCACCTATTAGAAGTACCCTGATGAGTGAAGTCGTCCGCACCTTCCTCAGGGTTAATAGCAACGAAGAGTGAACTGGTTCTTCTAAATTCTTCCTATTAAACTTGAAGACACCTTCGGAAATTCAGACCATGACCAAAGTACCCTGGAAATACTGAAATAATTCATACCATCATTGTTAACCCTTCTAAACGGTTCTAAAATAGCTACCGAAGAGATCTTCGAGGGTGGCGTCGAAAGCCTGTGGAAAGTCATACACAGAATATTTCGTACACGGACCCATGACAATTCCTACAAAGCAACAAGAAAAGGAGAACTTAACCTCTTTGCCGATACGAGGCTTGGCTCGAGTCCTCGCGTCTGCTCGAGGAATACTTTCGACACCTCCGGTCGCGCGTGACTGCCCGATGATATCGCGTTGTTCGTTGGCTCATTAAACTGGCATGCCGATGACGGTTGAAGTCGTCGGATATTCGATTAACGTTGTCGAGAGGCCCGAGAATTCGGTCCGGGAATTTCCCCAAGAGATTCTCGCCGAGCGCGGCTACGGGGCGGGAATATAAATATATATGATATTCGGACTGAAGTCTGCGCGCCGCCATCTTGGAATCTCTTCAGCTCGCGGCGACGGCGAAGTATTTAATCCATTAAATCGTCCCTTGAGATTCTCCGCCAGATCGAAATGATCTGACGACGATCCCGATGACGTTATCTCGGAAATCCTCAGATTCTCCATGCACCGGGGGCACTTTTCTCCGCGTTAAAAAGTCCTACATCAAGCGCCAATGACTCACCGTTGGGTTTCATCTCGAGATTGAGGGCCCTCGTTGTGAAAAATCGGACTTGGATCGTTATCACAAATGTTCTTCGCGGATCGACTCTGTCGATACTTTGAGGGATTTTAAGAGACCGGGAAAGTGGACGAGTGGAGAATGAGGTGACGACGGTGGTGGTTGAAAACAATCGATGTTCGATTTTCGAAGGATGCAAGAACAGCGCGATCGTAGCGTCACTTTGGACTGTTGTTATCAACAATGGCCTGGCCAAAAACTGGAGCAACGACCGCTCCAGCATCCGGTGGGGACACCTTCGCCGATGCAGCAGATCGAAGGTGAGATTTCATTACATTATCAGTACAAGCTCTTTCCTATGGTACTAGCAGATTTGAACAATTGCCTTGCGACTCGGGAATGGTTTATTCTAGTAATTTCGGATAGGCATAATCTTTGCTAAATATTATAAATATCTTATTATAGGGCGAACCAAATATTCTCTTCGCGTGACTAAATCCTTTGCCCGATTACGTCAATTATTGTTCATGGCTCGCAACAATTGTTAAAGTAATTTCGTAGATTTAACCGAGTCGTCTGATTTTATTGACTAAAATATTTTCTAAAATTAACGATACGACTTACCCAAAGCGTTTTGCTCGATTGAAGCGAACGAGCTTGGTCGAGTGAAGTAAAATTCGAAATGTTTTATCAAATTAAGCAAACGCAGCGATTTCGTTCAATGAAAGATATTTTTTTTTTATTCCGCCTACAGGGATCGCGTCCTTCCTCTTCTACGTCTCGCTCTCTGGGGGAATCTCGTACATCCTGACCCGATCCACTCGATTCTATCTATACGCGCTTAGCTAATTACTATTTGGGTAAGCGACCTTTCCCCCACGGCAAATCGTAGGGGTGTGTCGCGCCGCCTAACAATGCAACAGGAGGACGAGCTGAAATGCGCGAAATGCGCGTTAACCTACGAAACGCAGGAGAATCGACGGAACTCGGTCGGCTAAAAGAGGCTGCTTGGCCAAGTATAAGTTAAAATTGGACTCGGTCCGAGATTAACGAGTCGCATTGGCAGTCTTCGACTTCTTTTATCCTGGACCCATCGGCGATACGCGAGCCAGGAAGTCGAACTTGATCGAACAAAATGGCGGCGGCGCGAAAGGTGCATCATCGCTTGGGCGGCCTTATTTAAATATAAAATCTTGAATATTCAAATTACTACCAGGACAATATTTCCATTGCACGGTAACTACTTAAAACTCGGTATATTACGTACATACAGATATAAATCTAAACCCTGCACATCGAATTCTTAGCTGAATGATATTAAATTAAATCGATGAGGGCGGCCATATTGTTTTTCCACCTGGCCGACCGAAAATCCAAGAACACCCGGAACGCAATGGATCCAGGACTTGTATATTTACGATTTTATGTTCCAGGAAGGAGGAGGATATATTTTATACAAGGTGTTCATTTTTAACAATTGTTTCAGCGTGTCTGCAGACCGCTGGCCAGACGAAGAGGTCGCAGACTCCGCGCTTGGAGGCGACGCTGACGCAGCTCTCCTCGTCGATGTCGCCTTCGGAGTCTCGTAACGACAACAACAATAACAATAATAGCCTCGGTGGAAACAATAACGAGGGCGGGGAAAATGCAGGAAGCTGCGCGGCGGATCTGCCGCCGAAGAGGCCCTTGCATCCTGCACTTGCAGGTGCAGGTGCAGCCCTGGAGGCGAAGCCTCTCTGGGAAGAGTTCTATCAGCTGGGCACAGAAATGATCGTTACCAAAGCTGGTCGCAGGATGTTTCCGACATTCCAGGTAAGTCTTGGCCCGATCTTCGTCTTTTCTTAAGATATAAAAGTGCGATATATCATACCAAAAAGTCAAATTATTTATCCAACTTTTATCCAAACTGAGTGCATGAAATTATCTAAAACTTTAACACGTGATTATGGAGGCTGTAAGGAAGGAACGCGCTGCCCGTGAAATTTCATTTTCATTTTCAAATTTCATAGGAGAAGTTCAAAAATCTTTTTAAATAATTTAAGATGTTTTTAAAAATTGGCGAGGTATAATAATGATCTGAAAAAGTGCATTTTAGATATAAGTAAAAATTCTTGAATTTCCCCTATGACAACTGCATGTAACCCCTTCAGTCAGTTTTGTGCAAGTGCATCGATTGGATCCCTTTCAGTGCCGCATCTTCGGACTGGACCCGAACACCGAGTACCTCCTGGTGATGGATTTTGTGCCTTGCGACGACAAGAGGTACAGATACGCCTTCCACAGCAGTGCCTGGGTCGTTGCTGGTAGAGCCGATCCCATTTCACCTCCCAGGATCCATGTGCATCCTGACAGTCCTGCCAATGGGGCACATTGGATGAAACAACCGGTCTCCTTCGACAAGCTGAAGCTGACCAACAACCAGCTGGACGACAATGGCCACGTAAGTGTCCACTCTTCCAGAAGAGTGTGGTACTTCACTTTCAACATTAACACCCGTCGTCAATACGTCGTATGATTAAAAGGCACATTTCAAGGGTAAAATTGAGAGATAAATATTTATCAATGTTTATAAATGATCCGGTGGACCCTAAAACACATATCGGTATTGGCCGTAGGTTTGTGCCGTTTAATAATAAAGAAATCATTTCTTTCAAACGAGGGATCGAAATTATGCAAGAACGAAGGAGAATATTTTCGGAGCAATATTGTTGATTTTGGTTAGTGGAATTTATTTCAAACGGGGAAAACGGCACGAATTTGTGGGACAGCCTAATAGATATCGTGGTAAAAAACGGAGGGGATCGTCTTCTGACTCTCTTGATGGGATTTTCTTCCTTTTCTTCTCTCTTGGGACGAAGTTTATGGATATTCGCGAAAGGGTCGGAGGCACGCGAGACGGACGAGCCGACGAAATGCCGAAACCTCGGCATAGCGGCTGTCGTCCAACTTTTCCGCCGTTTCTCAGCTCGGAAGCATAAACCCGCGCCAGTCAAGAGAGACATGGCCGAGTTGAACGGGACCGGCGATTTAGTTCACGTGTTTGCCGTTTCGGACGAGTTCCCTTTAATTGGCCTGAAATACGACGACCTCGGCCGAAAAATGCCGGCAAGAGGCGGGGAAAATCGGTCTTTCTTTTTAAAAATTAAAAATGGCTGCACAGGGAATGGTAAACCGAACCGATCTCTTTTAAATAACAGAAAAATTCCGCCTAAACTGCACCCGCTACAGGTCTTTACGTCAAATCTGTGAAAATCTACATTTTTAAGGCGACGCGAAAGTTCCGTCAAAAAGATCTCGTTTATGAAACTTCTCGCCGAATAATTCCAAGATCTACCCCGTAAATATGCCGGCTATAAGGAAGCTCCTGACATCCATGAAATTAAATTTTTTTACACGAAATTTTAAAAACGTCTATAAACAAGTTATTAAAAAAATTGAAATTTCATGAGAATCGGGACCTTCCTTATTGCCTCCATATTCCCGTGGTAAAGTTTGAAACGATTCGGTACACTCGGTTTGGGGGAAAGTTCCAAGAACAATTGATTTCTCAGATGTCACTATCACATCCCCTTAATCGACAGAACTCGGGTTAAGAGTCGGTTACGAGTAGCTAGGATTAATCGGTACTTGTGTAACCAGCTTTACTTTCCATTGGGAAAAAAATTCGGATATCTCGAGAGTGTATACAAGATACAAGATCGAGGAACGCGTGTCCTTAAGACACGAGGGTCTGAGAGAAAGAGGGAAGAAGGGGACACACGTGAGCCAAAATCCGAGGAGGAAGAGACACGACGGGGGGTGGTCACAATGTTTGACAGCCAGGAGAGTCCCGGTGACTAATTAGAAGAAAAACTAACCCACGACCCGACCCAACGGCAACCCGACGCCCTCTCTTCCTTCTTCCCTGTTCCTCGGCGACGTCTGCGTCCCTCTCGTTTAATCGGCCCCGAAAGACGTGTGCGTGAGAAACGCGAGAGCACGCGTGCATTCCTCGGTTACAATGTTAAAAATATCCCCTCGAAGTATACCGTACACGTAATCGAGGTTTCCACGGGATACAATGTTTCGAAATTTCGTATACAAGGTTTTATATACCCGTACACCCAAAATTAATTTTTACATTCCAGCGTACGCGTACTGAATTTTCAGATTTTTTTATAGCAATTTTTGGATGAAGCTCTATACATTGTGACTGTCACAAGACGTGCATATGCAAATTAGGATATTTTTGTATTAACACACACACGCGCGCATTTTAAGAGAAGCACGTTGTGGCGCGTTTATTAACATTTCGTTTTGTTCGGTATTTTGGATACCTTTAATTTGTATGAATTCTCACTCTTCAAATGTGTATTTGTATTCGAAATTCGAGGCAGACGTTTGGAGGTAAATTGAAGGTGGTCGAAATGTCGAAACATTTTTAGTGCTTTCTTGCTGTTCTTTCTTCCTCTTTCTCCGGGGAGAAAGAAGAAAGTCGAGGAGTTCCCGGTTCGCAGCCCTGAAGAGAACTCCCTTGGCGTCATTGCAAGGCTAAACGAGGACCACCGACCTCGTTTTACCGCAGCGTTTTACGGTCGCCATGGATTTGGACCTCCTTTTGAGGATCTCTGGCAAGACAAATCCTCGGCTCCCCGGAATGCGCTTTTTTCCTCCTCCGTTCCTTCCTTCCCGAGTGTTCTACATATTGCTCTGGCGTGCCTAATTATTGAGCAATTCCGGCGCTTAGGATGAAATATTTCGCCTTCTTTTGACTTATTACTACAAAATGGAGTATTTAGTGCAACGCCCCACAAAAAATGTAGGCTCATTTGTAATATTGTGCAATGGGCTCTGCCGTGCCTAATTATTGAGCAATTCCGGCGCTTAGGATGAAATATTTCGCCTTCTGACTTAAATTATAAAAATAAAAATAAAAAATATTATAAAAATTCGTGGAATGGTTCTCCGGATTAGCTTGAATAAATACAGACGCCTATCGGGATCTATTTTATACCGTGTAAGGAGTTGCGGTGGGATTCATACGCGTTATACGACGATCCAAGATGGCGGCGGGTTCTTGTATACCGCGTCGATGATGACGAGGAACGTTTTTTTCTCGGCTTTGTAGAACTTTGTAGACGATGCACTTTTGCCTCCCTGACCTGACCCGAATACCAGCTGACGTGCAGTGGAAGCACTTATTTTTCCCTCGGGACATTTTTCTTCTTTGAGACTTGTCCAGATGTATGTGATTCACCTCTCCGTCTGTTAACCTAAAAATACACCCGAGACATTGAAAATGAGACACTAGGCGAGGAAGCTTACCGATACTTCACCGTTGCGTGATTTTCTGGAATTTTGCGATTACCTCAAGACGTAACGTCTCGCGATCTTCTTTCCTCATTTAATTGTTCCTTAAAAGTGGGCCGCCATGTTGGTTATTATTTGCGAGATGTTCGAAAACTCTTGTTCTAAATAGAAAGGCGGAAAAAGTGAAGACGAGCGAAGCCGAACGACTTTTTAGGTCCACTAAACTCTACCACCGTGGTTAGGGGTTCGAACTTCAAACAGGATTATTTCAGAAACCACGAGCGTCAGGCTCGGGGCGTCTTTTCGCGGTCCATCCTTTGAGAAAGGTTATGCGCCGGTAAATAGAAAAAGAAAAGAAATAAGAAAGGAGCGCAATCGTACCATATCGCAAGAAACATAAGACGCGGTGATCGCGTAACTCAGCCTTTACTGCCGTCTCTAAAAAAAAAAAGAAACACGTGTAACTTCGCATAACAATTCTCAAACCGTTAAATCACCTACTTACCAATACCTCTTAAATAAAAAAAAATTACTACAGCCGACATCCGTATCCATAGATTCTTGCATGGTTGTCGACTTCAATCTAATAGTAATAAAAAAGTAAATGTCCTTCCCAGATACCTCGCGAAACAGTAAATGTCGCGGATAAACAGCCGCCAATCAACTCACAGGACGCCATCTTGGATTTCCTGCATCTCGATTAGCGAGATTACGCTGATTATGATTACCCTTACGGTTATCGTTACGCCAGGTATCTGAGGAGTCCTTAAGGTGATATGAAAGTCGCATCTGAGATGTCAATCATTCGTGAAGCTTTTCTCTTAACTAGGGGCACCGAATCATGTGAAACCTTAACACGTGATTACCAAGGTTCTAATAAAGGTCTTGAAAGTCAGGAAATTGAATTCTTCGAAAAAAGAAATTCTTCCGCCTCTCGTCCGGGATAATTTTTCTTCGAAAGTTGAAATCTCGGGAGTTTCAAGACCTTCATTAGGACTTCCACGATCACGCGTTAAAGTGTCAAATTACTCGGTGCACCTCAGTTTGGAAAAATGTTTTATAAATATTCTGACTGTCGTACGTATGTGACACTTTCGTATCACCTTAACCCTTCTCCCTCGTAAGGAAGTGTGTCGGTTTCAGATCATTTTAAACTCGATGCACCGATACCAGCCGCGATGCCACGTGGTGGTGGCGCCCTCTCCGCCAGGCTCGGGGCCCGACCCGAGGACGGAGAACTTCAAGACGTTCGCCTTCCCGGAGACTAGGTTCACGGCCGTGACGGCGTACCAGAACCATAGAATCACGCAGCTGAAGATCGCGAGCAACCCTTTTGCTAAGGGTTTCCGAGATTGCGAGCCTGACGACTGCGATTCCCAGGCCGGAAATAACCAAGCGGTGCAGAGTCCTGCGAAAAGGGCAGCCACGGCTACGGGAAACAGTGCTCTACCTAGTTACGCGGCCGTCGCGGCGGTCCCGGCGATAGTGGCGCCGCCGATCGCCGCGGCGGGTTCCGGAATCGCCGCCATGCCCGGTCACGAACATCATCAGTTCTACGCCACGACGAGCGCCGGTCACTGGGCATACCCCATGACGACCACCACCACGGCCACCCATCACGTCCTCCACCCTCGCGTCAACTCGACGCACTATGTCGCGCACGCGCACTCGCATGCGCACGCCCATCATGGTCACGCTCCCGGGACCGGAACCCACGCCTCCCCGCTTTACGGCCCCCGATAACGACGCAAGGCCACCCCTGCGCCCGGAATATGGATAAATCAAAGAGAACCGACCTGAGAGAACCTGCGGACGGACTTTTCATCCTCGATTTCAAGGCGAAGAGGCTGGAAGAACTGGAAAAGGACTCGACCAGGAGCGCACTCCGGTAAGAGTCCGCCATTTTGGTTGCGCCGTGTATTGCTGAATTTCGGTGGAGGTTCGCACTGTATGGGGTGATTTCTGATGTTTCGGGATAGGTAAATGTAATTGCGGTTAAGGTTCGATCGCGAATGAGAGGTGCAATTATTTTCGAATCGAGATAATGACTCTTTAGGAGTTGGAGAAGGATTTGACTAGCTCACTTCGGGAAGCGTCGCCATTTTGGTTGCGCCGAGGAACGACTTTCGGTGGAGGTTCGAAATACCGAATCATGGTGTTTTAGGTGGGTAGAAAAGTCTTTGCGGTTTTTAAGTATCGATCGCTTATAAATCCACAATTATTTGTTTATTGACTTAATGTTAGGCGGCGCTTATACCGTAAAATAGGGGAAGAGAGGTCAGAGATTTACCTCCGGGTGTAAACCCAGCGCAAGAAGTGACCTGTATCGTCTAACCCTTAAAGGATACGTAGGTGGTCTATAAATATTCAGTTAGCCTCAATGTAAACTTCCCTGGGCCTCCGTGTCTCTATACGTCGAGCTCTAGTGGTTTTACGAGCCATTTCGTTTAACGTCTTTTCCGCCGGCCATTTTGGCTCGCCGCGTACAAATCGATCGAACAGTTTCCGTTCTCGTAGGGTAGGACCGTTTATAATGTATCGGTTGATAGTTAGACGTTTCCCGGAAAGGGAAGGAAGTGTCCTTTGTAGAGTGTTAGAATCAAAGCGTCTATTTATGTGTGGTGTCACGAGGGCCAAAGGGCGCATTTGACTACACACGAGAGCCAAAGCAAGAGAAACTTAAACGTGCCGTGACACCCCTTCAGGGAGACCCCCAAGTGCCTCGATAAATTATGCCCGAGTGTCGTGCCATTACGTGCAGCTTGCACGTAGTTAAGCCTTAATAATTAAGACCGAATACTACATTTTGCCCGGTGAACAAGACGCGTCGTCGGTGAAAAAATGTTTTGTCGATGGCCATCCCGCGAAATCGTCATTGTGCCAAGATTTCATGTACGAGCGCCATGTTGTATGTGATAATGTATGCGAGAGAAGTGGAACGCGAGATGTCTTTTAATTTATCTCGGTGTTTTCATTTAATCCTCTCTTCTGCATGGTTGCATGGTTGCAGGGGGAGCACAAAGCTGCATTGCTGCGAAAGTGCATAGAAAATTGCGCCGGGGAAAACAATTGGTTGAAAATTTGCGGATACCCATCATGGACGGTGCGGAAAAAATTGCCAGCCGATCGGGGTGTCTTGTTGCATTTTTCATTTTGCAGGGTTGCAACGAGGTAAAAGGTAGCTTCGTAGTTTTCGTCGACTGGGATTATTTACGGCCCGTTTTAGGGGAAATATGGGTATCGGACAGTCACATTTAAGACGTCATTTAGCATTGTCGCGTCCCTCGGTGCAGTCGTTTCCGTTGAGATCGCTGAAGTGGCCGTAAAATACATCTTCCTACCCACTATTAGTATCTTACCGAGAGTCATTAAGAACGTCTGCCTCGCCCCGATGAGAGAAATCGTGGGTGTTGGGACGCTAATATGTTTACACAGCACGTCTCTCTCGGACGCATCAGTCACTGCACGTCCGTCTCTGCGAGACCTAACCTGGACTTTTTACAACAAAGCGCTAAGTATCCAAATCGCCGAAACAATCTGCTTTCAACTGCAGAAGGTCCCATTGCATGCTAGAACTTAACCGCGTCCTTATATCTTCTGTACTTTCCTTAAAAAAGATGGCGCCGGCGCGTTCACTCTTCTGCATGCATTTCAAATACACGTTAACTCTTCTTTATGCTCCTGAATGGGTATTTAGTGGGAATAATATATCAGGTTTTATTCAAAACGACACGTTATTTGTTTTTATTATTACTACAGGAATTCGCAGAAGGTATATTAAGACATAGCTGGATTCCAATAAATGTTGGATGTCCGAAATCAAGATGGCGTCGGTGCGTTCACTCTTCTGCATGCATTTAAAATACACGTTAACTCTTCTTTATGCTCCTGAATGGGTATTTAGTGGGAATAATTGACCAGGTTTTATTCAAAACGACATGTCATCTGTTTTCATTATTACTACAGGAATTTGCAGAAGGTATATTAAGAGTTAGCTGGATTCCAATAAATATTGGACGTTCGAAATCAAGATGGCGCCCGTGCGCGTCGCGAGGGTGATCCGCATTATTCACAACGACACATTATATTTAGTTCCTCGCTCGTTTCGCAAGGATTCTCTCGCCACTAACTACGAGGGGGGCGAAAAAACTTGAGAAATGAATCGGATGAATAAAAGTGCATCCGCAACTAGTTCCTTCGTGAAATATGACGGCCATAAGGGCCGTGAAACTGTCGTCGCTTCCTCCCGTAAGAATACCGCACGTGGGGCAGAGTATTTCTCGCAGTTTCAGCCATCGTTAAGGGAGCAACCACCCTTCGATATCTCGGAAACGTATACCAAAAGCTTTCCTGAATAAATATTTACACAAGCCTGGTAATATAACCACGAACGAGAATATAACCGACGATTAAATTCTGTACGAATTTATGAGAATTTATGAAAATTGAATTTCTAATGACGTTGAAGTTGTTTTCGGTATTTTAACAAACTGCAAGGTAAACATTGTGCTACGTGAAAATTTGTATCTTATTTTTTAAGAACTTTAGCTTTTTATGCTTCCGATACCAGAATTTCTGAACCTCCAACAATTACGTCCAGCCACGGTTCATCGGCTAACCTAACCTCCTAACCTTTTGTGCGTCTTAAGATTAATAAGAGGGGCAACGCAGACTGCGGAAAATAGAAAATCATCGAAAGCAAGAAAGGCATCACAAATTAAACGGGCACTATTTATAAAAAGTGCCTTGACATTATGACTATTACATGTTAAAAGCAATAAATTACTTCGATAAATCAATTTAAATACAATTTCTCGTAAGTTCACCGGGGTTTTTTAAATTACCGTAACGTTCTCGGTTATATTGCTGGAGTTTAAATTCTCGAGAATTTAAAAACACTATCTGTAGTATCGAAAGTTTTATTAAGCCTTAATCGGCGTTTCTTTTTGAGAAATTACCATACCGTGGATAAAGAAGTCCCTAGAAAAAGGAAAAAAAAATGGAAAACTGGCGCGTGAGATTTCCAATAGGTCTCTGCTTCCGCTCAATGCCGCGAGAGTGCGCGCTCGGCGCGAGATTCCGCCGCAGCCGCGGTCCTAAAGTTTATATAAAGCACTCGGCGGTACTCGCGGTGTCGTCGGTCAGAGAGAGACGGAAGTAGGCGCTCGTCACGGGGCAGAGAGAGACAGAAGAGGTTAGGACGGAGGGGTTTTTAAAGCCCCGGCCCAAAGCGTAAACATTCGAGGTGCGATTTGACGTGCACTCGCGTCAGCCGTTCGAGAGGAGCGTCTTGCGGTCGGGTATACGCTTTAAGAATCCCCAGAGAAGAAACGGTGGCTGGAATCGGTAAATCTGTCATTGCGGCCATATTCGAGCGTCAGCCGTTCGTTCCTCTTCGCGCCCGGCGGAATATAAAGCGTCTCTTCTCCTTCCCCTCTCGCTTTGGATTTCTTATTTTTTTTTTATTCGGCTTCCCCGGCTCCGCTTTCGTCGGCTGGATCGCACTTTTACGCCGCCGGACATTTTTCCACCCGATCGCGATTATAACCGCGTATCGCGTTTCTTGGTTTATCGCCAAACAAGATGGCGGCCGCTCTTCCGCGACCACGTAAGAGCGGTCCGGTTCGTAACCTATTTCAGGGAAACGGGGTTTTTGCTCGGCTGCATACTTCGCGGTGGTGCCACTTGACGAATGAAGATTCAAAGAAGACTCGCCGCCGGATGGGAAACGGCGCGGAACGCACGCTACCGAGACGTCATAAATGCATCATCGATACGGTAATTCCTTCCCGGTTACCCGCCGTTTTCGGAACGTCATAAATACGTCATCGACGGGAACCGCCTCGCTTGGGGAACCTTTGCTCTTCCTGGGCATGATTTAGTCTAAGCGTAATGTCAAATGCTTGTTTTTTAGCTTGACCACCCCTGAGCTGACCCTGCTCTCGAATTTGGAGTGCCCGACGTTTACATCTCCAATATGGCGGAGGTTTAGTAAATAGCAACAAGTGGGCCAGCTGTTGGATTAAAACTGAAGAATTACCTTTCTATGTCAGAAAGACAGGAAGACGTGAAACTTAACTACGGTCAAGAGACGTAGAATAACAGCGAGTTTCATATCGGCGCTTTTCCGGAAATTAAAAGTTGCTTTTGTTCTTTTTATGTTAGCTTTTGGCGCGAAACTCTGCCGCATTTTTTGATTCGGTTTTGTTGCCGATAGAGCGATGACGAAGCGAAGCTTTCCGCAGCTACCGGGTGAAGAGTTAACGTTAGGTAAGTTGACATTCAGTCCCTGTGGTTTTAATTTCGAGTGGGTTGTTAAACAGGCGAAAGAAGTGCCGATGAACAGGAAGAAGCGAGAAAGAGTATGGGAAGGAAGATGTCCGTCAACTCCTGGCAGCAAACGACTCGACTGGCGAAGACATACGCTGCCCGGGTCTCCCTAACTCCAGGACAAGTTTACATAAACTTCTTCGTGGGTAAATAAGAGTCAACGATCTTCGTAATTTACTCTCGTCGCCGGATCGAAGTGCCTACCACGTGCGGAAAACCACCGCGGCCATCTTTGGGCTGACCTTAAGCTATTCACAACGTTCTCCCGAGCCCAGACTCGATTATTACTTACCCTGCGACATCGTTACACCGCATTTAATTATTCTCTAGTATCTATTAGAACATATCTGTCTTTGATCACACAAAAATGCGATTACTTTATCTATTACTATTATAAGATAATCGTAAAAATGTGATATTCATGTATTCGGTTTAAGGGGATGTGAAAGCGGCATCTGAGGAGTTAATCGTTCATGAAACTTTTCTCCAAATTGGGGATACCGAATCGTTTCAAGCTTTACAACGTGAATGTGGAGGCTATAAGGAAAATCCTGACACCCATGGAATGTCTTTTTTTTATAAAAAAAATTACTTAAATGTCTATAAACAAATTTTTAGAACATTAACATTTTATGGGGGGCCAAGACCTTCCTTATAGCCTCCGTATTTATATTGTTAAGTCTGAATCGATTCGGTACATCTAGTTTGGAGGAAAGTTTCATGAACTTCTTTGACGCCACTTTCACATAATCTTAACGGCGAAAAAAGTTTAATCTTAGATATAAGTTTGCCGCGTGAGAGGATGCTTGCTAATTCTCTGAAATAGCATATCGTTGAACAAAGTTTGTGCTGGACAACTTCGGCACGCGTATCCTATCTCACTGCTGGAATCCTCATATGTCTGTTAACGGGTCTCCCTAAAGCGTACGCACTCCGGGCGAGGTTCCCAGTCGTTCGTAGCAAAGGAGGCCTCAGAAAACGAGCAAATAACTCGCTTTTCGTCCTTTCCACTTCACAGATCTGCTGGACCGAAATATCATTCCTCGAGGAAGCTGCGCGTGAAAATCGACTACTGAGAATCGCCAAGGAAAAAGCGCAGAAAACGGCACGTCATCGCCGCAGATTCCTGGCGTTTCAGTTAATCACCCAGGTCAGACGGAAATTTAAATTCAGATCTTTATTCGTCATTAATCTTTATTATTCATCGAGACGTTGGAAAGAAGAAATTGAAAATGTACAAATTGGTTCGCCTGAAAGGTTTTGGTTATAGTGGGCCTAAGAAGAAAATCAGATGGTCCTTGAATTTCAATGTATTATTTTGGACGGAGTCGAATCAATTTAAACGCGTTTTTTTTTTTAGTAATAATTTAGGGGGATAATTTAAAAATACATGTTTTGATTGCTCGATCACTAGGTGGCGAGTAGAAACGGATAAGCTTCACCAAAGATCCGCTTGGTAGCGCCACAAGCTGGATGACATACTGCTTCTACTGTTGCGAGAGAGGGAAAGTTAAATTGCGATTAAATGAAAGTTGCGGCAACGAGAATTATTATAAACAAGCTGAAGTAAAGGCGGAAATCGTAATGGCAAGTTATTTTGGCGAAGTTGTATACCCATCTTCACGTGCGTTCTGGTTTAGTGATGAGTTCGACGAAGAGGACCAGGATAATTCCGAAAAGTATGTCATAACCTAGCTGGTTTAAAGTTTTGTCAAATAATTCTCTATCTTTCATATTTTATACGTAAGGCTAACTAAATTAAATATTTTTTAGCTCTTTCGAGTTTAATGCCGAATGGCCCAAAGGCTCACCAACAAGTATCAAGACACTTTTGATCATCGAAGGGGATATGATACTTGGTAATGACTTTGCACTTTGTTAAGTATTCCGGTACCTTGAACGATTTTACATTTTGAATTACTTTTAGCAACTAAGCTTCCAATATTTTGTAGTAATAATTTTCCATTTGTTCGATCTCAAATTCTTAATTGTATAGAATATATTGCTTGTTAACGGTAAACATATAATTATCATCCGATATAGATTTCTTCGAAACTTGCGTACTTCACGATGCCAAAGAGGTTTGCAAAATTCATCATGGGTCTGGGAAGCCATCCTTCTTTTATTCAATTAGTGAAGATTTATATATTTGTTCAGTCAGTCCCGACGTAAAACTGCACCACACTGGTATATTCGTAGATCAAGTAAGTCTGCTTATATATTATACCAACAGATTAATGTCTGATATTTCCAGAATTTATAAATATTATTTCTAGATCAGCAATATACTTACCACTGCCAAGGGAATCATCGCAGTGACTTGCAGTCACTCATCTCAGTACAAAACTATGGAAAAAATAGAAGCTCCGTCCTTTCTCAGATCACTTACTACTAAAGGGACAACGAGATTAGAAAAAGTAGATGCTCCCCGGATAACGCAACCAAACATTGTCAGTGGAGTATGTGCCGGAGGTACGCAGTTCACATGTTATGGTCTTCTACACGGTATAACCGATAAACTCAATATATAATAGCAAATACTATTTTTTTCAGCTTTATCCTTTGCAGACGCTATTAAAAAACCTGCCACATTATACGTGTTATATGTTGATGGATTCTCTCTAGATTCTATTAGCGCTAAGCCATTAATAGACCTCTGCGTCGAATTAAAATGTTGTAGCCCTCACCAAACGACCGTTGCAACAAATGTATTCAATAAAGGAAATCTTTACATATAAATAGCTCCTTTTAACATAATGGCTTAACGATAGTATATACTTAATTCAGTTTGTATATGATCTTAATGACAGGTAACTACATTTTACATTATCTGAAATATCAGAAAATTAAGTGAACTGTATCGCATAAATTCAATAACTTTCAGTTCGGGTTTTTCCAGGTATAAATTAAACAAAGCTTGATTCTCCATATCGATTATCGATTTCCCACCTTGTAGCTGAGAAGTGGAATCCAGCTGCAACAACCAGGTATTGTTTACTGCGGATATTTATGCATTCTAGAAAGAGAGCAAAGGTCTAAGTGTATTCGATCATGTAACCGTTCGTCCATCTCCTTGCATCACCAGCAGACCTGTAATCTCGCCGGCGGGCTCTTATCATCTCGCTTCAGCAAGTCCCGCCAGCTGTTGTCCCCGGCAATATAAGTCGGCGGACAATTATTCCTGTTTTACTTTTGACGTAAGCGACAAAACGCGGTCTGATAAATTCAGTTTCCACGAGTCGAGTAGGCCAAAATGAACCTCTCGTCGTGCCTTTTTTCTCCCTGCCCCCTACTTAGAGTGCTAAAAAAGCAGCGCACTTGCTCGACTCTCGCCTGCAATCGGTCCGACATGTGCAGAGGGCTTTGCGCGTTGCAGTGGACGTCTTCGGATTACAATCTCCAACTGGGAGTTGATATTCCCAGACTCGTCGCAGAACCAACCCAGAAAAACTTTGTGAAATTCGACAACACCCCATGTTTACGTTGGCGTGATCAAAGGCACTAAGTACATAATTAATTCATTGATAACGTGAGAAACTGGGGGAGCGACGAGTTCGTCATTGCCATGCGCAAAGCCGCTGCAAATTGAATGCCGAGGTGTAACATTACATACTAATTAATTTATTCATTAATCGGGAAAATGACTCCCAAGCGTTAATCCTTTCAAGAATCGTCCTTGTATATGCAAGCTTTCTCTATTTTTAGAACGACGTACCAGAGTGGCAGAAACACGAGTAAAGCGTCCCATCATCCAGTTAGTACAATTGTTATCTTGCCACTGGCGTGGGCGATAACGATGTCAGTGCTGATAGGAAGCCAGTAGGTGTGTCCGCGTTCTTATCAACGTTATCTACAAGGGATTACCGGTCGCCCTCCGTCGTCGATCGTCGCCGGCAAACATCTCCCGGAATAACAAATCACACGAAACGTAGACGCCTTTTGCAGGGGTCTAGATTGCGAGTACTCCCAAGATAGACCCATTTACAGCGGAATGATAAGCACTAATCGATAGCGAGACATCAGGACTATGGAAGTTGAATAACCACTGGAAATTCTAATGACCGCGAGCAAAGACTCCTTATCGCCTTAGTGCAAAAATTGGACGTCCTTGTAATTAAGACCAGGAGGCATAACTAAACCCGAGGCAGGTGTTCATTTAGATAGAAGATCTTCCCCGACCATGGACACTCCCACGGATGAGAGAATGGATCCTCTGCTCAGGGCACTGGCCAAACTCGGCGAAGGTTCCGGATTTCTCTGGTTGGTCTTCTTCCTCACGGTCACCAGCGTGCTCAACAATGGATTCCACGCGATTTCCTACGTCTTCCTGGCTGAGGTACGCCGAGTCTCTTCTTCTCTCCATATCCATATTCCTTAAATATGTAAATTTCATGAGAAACATCCAAAACTTTCCATATTCTAGGTACCCACCCATTGGTGCAGCGTGCCCGAGCTCAAGGCGGCCAACTGGACGGAGGAACGGATCAGGAACGTCTCCTCGTTGGACTCTTGCTCGAAGTATGACTATAACTACTCCTTCTTCGGCAAAGTAGGGTTTGAGGAGACCTTGAAGTTCGTTGAGACTCATGACAGGCCGAAGAGTTCCAGCTGCGACGTATACTCGTATCCTGGGGACTTTAAGGAGTCGATCGTTCAGACCGTGGGTACTAAATATTATCATTATGTCTCGTGCACTGTATGTAGAATATGTTTAAGTAAGAAATTTTGGTCACCTTAGTAGAAGATTTAGCAAATTCTGATTTTCAGTGGGACCTGGTCTGCGACAAAGCGACGTACCGCACGAATACTCAGATGGCGCAGTCTTTGGGGAAACTCGTTGGAGCCAGCATCTTCGGAGTGTTGTCTGACAAATATGGCAGAAAGCCATGCTTCGTTATCGGCATTTTGTTGCTCATTGTGTCGGCTCCAGCTACTGCGGTAGTTCCCTGGTATTGGATTTACGTGGTGACCCGGTTTGTGACCGGGGTTTCCAACATTGTGATGCAAAACTCCTCTTACACGATTCGTAAGTGGGAATCCCTGGGAATCCCTAAGGCTTCGATGAGTCTCAAAATGGTTTGGAACGATTGTGAACTTCTGGTTGGTTTTCAGTTACCGAAATCGCTGGCACCAGGTCCAGGCAATGGATGGGAATCGCCTATTCTATAACTTATCCGATGGGGATGATGGTGTTGTCTGGCGCTGCGTACATGACAAACAATTGGAGGTATCTCCAGATCTCCATCGGACTTCCAGCATTACTTCTACTTCCACATATATGGTAATGGTTGACGAATTAGTAAGGTAGCGATGGTAGTTATGGAATTATTTTTACCTTTTAGGTACATGCCGGAATCTCCTAGGTGGCTCATATCTCAAGGTCGACGCAAGGAAGCGAAGAGAATTCTTGAAAGGTACTACGGTCCGATCTGTGAGGATGCTGCAAATATGTCTCTCTCCTCGACACACAAGATGGGCTTGGGGAATCATGACGACGACGCTGAGAAGGATGCCGATGAGAAAACAAACTTTCTGCAAAAGAACATCAAGAGTTTACGGATCTTGTACTCTCACTTCGAGCTACGCAAGAGAATTGCTATAACTTACTTTCTGTGGATCGTGGCTTCGCTTTCGTACTATGCTCTGGGTAATATCTTTAAGGTCTTCTCCTCCACTTTCCTGACTCCAGTTACTTCGGAGAATTTCGGGAATAATTATGAATCCCTTTTGCAGCCTTGAACGTGGACAACTTCTCAGCGGATCGTTACATTTATGTTCTCCTTACGGGGTTGACAGAAATACCATCGTACTTGGTGCCCATTCCTATCCTGGCTATTCTGGGACGCCGTCAAGCTGGAGCTGTACTGTTTACCATATCTGGAATATCGTTGTTAAGTATTATGACTATCTCTAAGGCAGACACCACTACAATTCTCATCGTGGGCCTTGCAGGGAGGTTCGCCATGTCTTCCGTGTATAATATCGTCATCCTACATACTACGGAGTTGTTTCCAACGGTATATTGATACGATTCATTCCATTTAGGTGTACAGGAATTGTTGATCAAGTCAGAAATTACATTTTACAGGTATCTAGAAATTCTGCCGTAGGAACCAGCTCAGCTATGTCTCATGTAGGAAGCGTCGCAGCTCCTTATGTTGCTGACTTGCTCGGAGCAATTGCTTGGTGGGCACCGAGCACCCTGTGTGGTTGTTTAGCCCTCGTTGCGAGTCTTTTCTGTCTCACTTTGCCAGAAACACGTGGCAGGCCTTTGGCGGACACTGCAGAAGAAGAAACAGTAAAAGAAAGAGGATTCGTTACCTTTAGTAATTGTTGCAAATGTTGACGCTTGCTTATTAAATATATTTATTATTTTATTTATTAACCACCACTCCAGAGATTATTTTCCTACCCTGGTGTTTATTGCAGATTTTTTTCGTATAAAAGAATCCATGCATAGGACATTATGCTACGCTTACAAGTTATTATTTAAATAACAATGTTTTACACCATATTAACAAAAAATTGATTGTGAATGTCGATAACTTCCCTTATGATGGCCTAAGTGGCGCCATCTTACTTACAGAGGACAAAATAGTTAGGGATTTCCTAGCAATCAAGTCTATAGAATTATTCTTCTATGAAATTCCATTTGCTTCTCGATTTGTACATCCGCTCTAAGGGAATCAACCAATCGCATCTAGGATCAAGATGTCTACGCTTATCAAATCAAGATTTCTCCTAGATCGGATTTGAAGGTTGAAAATTGTGCCGTAATCGCAGGAGTGGTTTACACACTACCATCAAAAGCGAGCAGTGTTGGTAAGCGTAGGTAAGCCACCACCGTCACTGCCGCATGGTATCGCGAGTACGTGAGCCGCCAACGGCGACTGGTAGATGGTACCGCCATTGCGAGTGCGCGAGCTCCTATCAGAAAATCGTTGCGCCGCCCTTGGGGGCAAAAAACGGTGAAAGCCAACGTACGAAACCAGAGGGCAGCACAGGATGCGATCGCACGATCCTGCCCGTGAGCAATCTCCCAACTCATCTCTGTCATTTGACGCTTATTTAGCCAAATGAACGTGATAAAAACAGAATTACGATTCGTTATTCTTCTTTTCGATAGAAGCGAGTAGAGATTTTTTATGCATTATCATACGTATACAGGTTTCTCGAAAGCCCCGCGTAAAGGCGCTGTAGAACGTTATCGTGCAACTTCTGTTTAAAGAGCTTTCTCTTTAGACGAGAAATTTTTGACATTAATTATTTCGAAGAACATTCGAATACAAATATGATCTACTAGATTGTACTAGATTGCAATGTGCTCAGTTGGCAGTTGTCAAAACAAGAAACTTTAGCGATGGATGGAAGCGCGAAGAATGCCGGCGATTCGCAGTTTATATCGTTTGACGAACTGACTGCAGATGTCCATTTGGGTACAAATCAAGCTCAACTCGAGATAAATCCCTCTGGTCATCAAGGTTTCGGTAACCTGAACAATGATCCTTCTGGGATTGGTGCCATCGAGGATCTTCAGGACACGCCTGATAAGAGCCAAGGTTACATGATAGTTAATGCCAAAACTTTAATTACGATCACTTCGCAGACATTAATCAATAGGGAATCTATTCGTTTCAGCTTCCTCGCAACCTAGTTTCTGGACCATCGAGTATTATAAAAAATTCTTCGATGTCGATACCAATGACGTAGTGGAACGTATTAAAAGGTCGATGGCTCCTCACATTTCAGGGAATTACTTGGAGACGCACATTCGTCCTAGGCCAGATTTGTATGGTCCATTTTGGATATGCGTAACTCTGGTATTTGCGTTAGGGATAAGCGAAAATATGGCCAATTACTTGTATACCGCTGCCTCTGGGACGTACCATTGGAGGTATGACTTTCACATTGTTTCTTATGCGGCGACGTTGATATTCTTGTATGCCTGGCTTCTACCTATTGCGCTCTGGGGAGCGTTAAAGTGGACCAGCAGCGAATCCCATAATGAAACCGAGTTAATAGAGGTAATTTAATTGGCGTTACATTTTTGTCCGATGCAGTCGAGTGAGATTTAACTCTTTCATTGTTTTTTTTAGCAAGTTCCACTAACCCCTGGCCTTTTGGAGTTACTATGTTTATACGGATACTCTTTGGCGATTTACATTCCAGTTGCATTTTTTTGGACCATACAGATCACGTGGCTACAGTGGGCATTAGTCGGGGTAGCGGCGCTTTTATCCGGGGGTGTTTTGTTGCAGTCGCTGCTTCCATTTATAAAAGGTAAAGAGTTGGGATAAAGTGGAAAGATTATCTGTGAATTAACAAAATTATTTTACAGGAAAACATAAGCCTATTTACTTTACTGTCATTTTGGGATTGCACGTACTACTGGCGGCTGGATTCATGCTGTACTTTTTCCATTTCCCTTCGAAGAAATCGGTTACACCGCAGGGTGTTGTTGTACCTTCCGTGACAGTGGCTAGTGTAGTCGCTAAAGCAATATCCGACGCCAGTGTTGTGAATGCGACGCATAATCCACACTGACTGTGACCGTTCCCTATGCACGATGCAATATTCATAACTCGTTCCATATCTGGAGTAACCCGATAACTGCTTCTTGTCACTACAAGATGTGACTTATCTCGTCATCAGAGGAACTTCTGCTTCCTGTCTCAATCTTTGTCTGTTCTTCGACGTAGACAGACAGTACTTTGTATCGTAATGTAACTGTAAATTATTACTTTCTGTAAATGATTAAATCTCTAAATAAACGGGCCAGAAAACAAGGGATTATTATCATTAATTAGAATGGCGTTCAATATGAATTTTCAGTGATATGAAAGACATTAAGCGAAAACTTTTTTGCTAACCGTAAGTCACTCTTAACCAGGTATATAATTCATGGTCAGAGAAGAAGTCGATTTAAGTAAAGACGCGAAGAGGGGTCGAGTGCCGGTTGATTTATTCTGCCCTATTATAAAATAGGAACGTGTTACACCAACATAACACACATTCACAATACGAGTCTTTACCATTCTCCACGTAATTACTTTAAATGTAACGGATTACCTAAATAATCAATCGTACACAATCTAATTAGATTCTCGTTCACCTCCTTTAACCAATGTGACGAAAGGCAACATTCACTTTGTGATAGCAAGTATCGTTACGTTATCATCAATGTACGTAATATCGTAACAATGATTTGTTAATATCAATAGACATCGTAATCAGTATGCGGTGTTAAATAGCGTTATCTCTCCCTTCTGGAGGAACCTCGCAACGCGGATTTCCTTCTACTGAACGTTTCATGGCAAAATGCACAAGATAAAGAAACTTTTGTTATGTACAAAATCTGAGCCGCGATCCTCGGACCTCTTATACCGGAATCTTTAAATGAAAGATGAAAAATTGAACGAAACGTAATTATCTAGAAAGATGTTAGGAAGGAAATTAAGGGAAGAAAGGAAGGAAAAGATGGTTCGCGTCGCGAGATTCCTCGGTACAATGGATTCATCCTCCCCGTATAAAGTACGAAAATTCTACGTGCAAAAGCCCTTAGATCTAAAAAGAGCCGAGCCTACCGCAGTCGCTCGCACAGCTCTTAAAAATTAAGCCGAGGTGCGAATTCAACAGGTATTTTGTCTGCGTATTGTACACTCGTCGAATGGAGATTGGCTTTCTTCGGCTTTAAGGGTCAACCAAGGGTAACGTCTTCTTGCGGTCCCAGGGCCGCGTCTCGGCCAAGAAGAAACTCCAAAGTGACTTTTTACCAGCTGAACTTACTTAAACACTTTAGATTTTGTTAATCCTTTAGATCACGGTGAGAAGAAAGCGTCGGTCGAGGGAATTGCGTTCGAACAAACGAGACTTGATAAAAGAAATGATTCCTCTTACTCCTACTTACCGTCGAAGAAAACAAGATGGCGGCGCACCCGTCGCCCACCGCGAGCTCGAATCGTCACATCTACCTCGTGTTTTCCAGTCTTTCCGTTTTCCCCGGGACATATCTTGCCTAGAAATAGGTGTAAGTGATTGATAAGCATATTATTTAGACCGAGATATCGCTTGCTAATGTAGGAAATGACGTTTGTTTTTCCATCAACTCAAAGGACGTCGCGTAACGGGATGCGCCGCCATTTTGTTCCCCGCTCGTTGTGGCTCTTGAAGCCAAGGTTAGTCGCGATTAAAATTCGATTGAAACCGCTTTAGTGGCGCGTCTGTCAATGTTGGCTTCAAAGATCGTCCGCGACGTCCATGCGTACATAATCAAAGCCTCGAGGTGATGCAATATTGTGCCTTTAATTCTCATAAAAATCGTTTCAGTTCTGCCAGACAGCTCGACCACCTGACGAGGAACGGCCACTGTCGACAAGCTTTTAAACGCCTGTCAATCGTCGGAATATCGACGTTACACCGAAAGATACCGCTAAGGGTCTACCTTTTTGGCTAATCGTGGAAAGTCTAATTTTAACGTTCGCTCGAAAGCGGCGGTTAGTCGAGGATGCATCGATCGCGAGGTGAGCGCTTAAAAGTAGCATCGAGTACCAAGTAAATCTCCGAAAATCCGTTACTCCGAATGGTTCGTGTGTTTTTAAAAGTGCAATTCATCTTTAATGTTCATAAACATATCCGATACATACATCTTAGCCGACACAGGATTCGTCGTTAAGATGCGCGCGCACATTGGTAACATGGCGCGAAACTCTGTCGAGTTTCCAGACGTCGCAGACAACTCGAGTTCCTCTCCAGGCGATTTCCTAAATTTCGAGGAGTCTCTCCCCAATCGATGCACCCTCGTCCCGCAAAGGAGACCGACATTCTACGTACTTCTATAAATACTTTACTTAGATTTTGGCGAGTGCCCGCAACGACTTGGTCCGACGTGTTAATATACAGTCAAGATTCGTAATAGGCAGGAGGAAGATCGGTAAACCCGGGATAAACTGTCGAGTGAGGTCCCTGCTCCTCGAGGAGATCGAAATCTGACTTTTCAGTGGACGACGGTCCTTCCTAAATAAACTCCAACGATCGACAAAGATGGCTACAAGCGAGGATAAATCACAGCGATTTGTAGCCTGCGCTTAACCCCTTCCCTTACGATCTAATTTCCAACTGTGCGGGCCAAAAGCGACACCAAGGTCGGTTCGATAACCTTGCGACGCCTCTGAGGCGTCATTGTAAGCTAAGGGGTTAAACCGAGTCTCTTTTATTATCCTATACCCTTTACGAGATAGATCAATCTGTACAGATCGGTTTGCTCGGATTTTTTCCGCAGAGATTTATCCTAACGTATGTAGCCATCCGACGTTCTCGTGGATAAGAAGTCAGCTCGAGACTCCTAGAGTCGCACCGATATATCTCAAGTAGCCTCAAATCATCCGAAAAATTCTGAGGACTGACTCGTCGTAGAGCACTTTCTCCTATGGCTTAGGATCGACTCGGTGATTACCGTGACTATTTATTAATTAATATTTACAGCAAGTCGCGCCGCTAGGAACATCCACGCGGTCTCGTTCCCCGATGCTAGAACGTGTCGTTCCGTTACCCTGGTTTATTTAATCAGTTTGAAATCGGATCGTTAAGGTATGTGCAACAATGTTCCACGGGACCACGAAGTAGTATAAGGAGTTTCAACGCCATGTATTCAAATCGTTCCCACTTTAGCGGTCGAAGATCTTCAGATTTCTTCCGTTCGTGCCGAGAGCGCCCCCTCGATGAAATTTTTCAATTAAACGTCATCGTCTCCTAGCTGGTCCGCTAGCCTTTAAATCTCGTTAAAAAAACATCACATTCTGCATAGCATGCGCGGATAATTGCTTTGCGTACCTTAATTGTAAAATTAAAAGCATTTTAGGTCATTTACGTCGGTAGGGAATGTTTGGTCATGTAGGATGGAGGTCATGGAGTTCCCTCGTTTCCCGCAAGGAGCGCTCGCGTCGTTGGATCAGCGAAAGTCTGAGATCCTGGGCCCCGATTCTGGGGTCACTTTTTATGGAACCGATCATTGGCATTATGTCTCCTTATACTAATTTATGCATGGAACTCGTTCTTCGAGCACGCTCGAACGGACTTAACTACCGATCCGTACGCTATGGCGATATACAATGTAACAGGTTAATTATTCAGTCGCAAATTCATATCGACGACGTAAGTCACCGTGATTTCACCTAACCTTTCTTCATTTAATATTTCAGGAATGTCGGAGAAACGCCCGCCATAAATGCATGCACGTAAGCGCGTACCTATAACAAGCTTTCTCTGAAGTGACGATTTGCCCAAAATCCGAGCCCTTGTTACTTTTAGGGAAAAATGAAAAATCTCCTTTTACTTTCCAGGAGACCGACGAGGCGGTGCAACGCGATGCAACTGAAAACTGCACAGCAACGAATCCGAGGTTAGACCAATTTGACCGAAGCCGCCATTTTGAAATATCGTTAACGTCCTCGACCAGGCGATTAGTGAGATTAGTTTTGATTTTTCCGTTCCAAGTCATTTGAAAATCTACGGTTCTCGGGGTTAATCGTTAATTGTATAAAGTCACTCTACATGTAGACAAACACGTATACCGGTAATATGCACGTGGACACACCGAGAAATACATCTGTGGTAGGTGTACGCTCACTAAGTCGGTTTTCCTGGTTTATATTGGCAAGTGCTAAAAATCGAACTCCACGAATTGTCGTTCCTATTTTCTTTTCTCTTTCTCTCTAACGTTTTATTCCCGAGTAACGATGAGACTTAACGAATTTCAGGGACGGACGGAAAAGATGCCGTGTCGCATCAATTTGGACAGATCCATTAACTCGTCTCCCGATCGTCGCCATTATCAAGAGCGGTTATAAACAATTATTTGCAATATGAGTTCACCAACGAAGGCAGTTCCTCGAGACCAATTGTCGGAAAACAACGTGAACGTGATAAACGAAAGGTGGCTAGACAAGTAACGATAAATCGTAGCGATTTGCAGATCAGATTGTACATATAAGATTTTATAAATTTATCATTACGTGTAATAATGTTACCCAACAATAGAAACTCAAGGAACCAACTCGTCGGTAATCCCGATGAAGAGTCGCCTTAAGAATCCGTTCGGAGCACAGGCATTTCTCGATAAGTAAGCGGAAGTTCTTCGCACCGTTCCCATTCGTGCATTTCAACGAGAGAACAAAAGGTCGGCGATGAACAAAGATGACGTAAATTAAGTCGTTCCCAGAAGCGAGCAACACAGGGGGCAAATAAAAAGCAAGCGAGCGTCAAGAATGGACGTCGAGTCAGCGGTATATGGAAAGGACGCGGAGACGCGCGAGGTGCGGGATAGAAATCATGAAAAGATCCGATACGACGAGCGTATAAACCAGGAAAATGTGACAGAAAAGACACGTCGCTTCGTTTGACCATTCGAAGTACTCGAGCCGACGTGTGGTCCGCCGTAACTCTCGCACCTCTATTTATTATCGTCTAACATAAGGTCCCTGTTACGTTGCGGTATCGTTTTTCGCTTTTTTTCGCCTTTGCATCCTCTTCGATTGTATATAATATATGTGTATATATATATAATATATTTATATATATCTCGCGGGCTTCGAAAATATCACGCCTCCCGAAGCTTGGTTGATTCACCTTAAGCATTAGTCTTTAGTATTTGATTATACTACAATAATATACAGAAAACCGTGGCGCCAGCGCGGCGGACGATCGCGCCATTTCCTAACCTACAACTCGCCCCTCGAGGGTGGAGATGAGAAAACCCGCAGACGCGATCGACCGTCCGGCCGACCGATTACGATACACTAAATATAATCAGCCCATGTATTAAAATACGAATATCAAATAGACTCTTTCCCGGTATCCAGTGAGTAAAATTTAAACTTCGTTAAGTAAGTGGCGTCGCCAATCGATGCGAGGACCCCGAGAGGACGAGCCTCGAGAGCTTGGGCAGAGTTTGCCGGACGCCAGGCGCGCCCTGCGGACGTTTGAAATTCCCGCCGAGGCTCGCCGACGCTGATTGGTCGGCGCGCGCATCGGTGGCGCCCCCTGGGGCGAGCTCGGCGAGATATTCCGCATCCACTCGGTCAAACTTCCCGGGCGCGCCCCGCCGACGTCGGCGATCGTTTCTCTCGCATGTCGGGCGTGCGCAAATTGTTCCTGCCGCCAAACTAAACCTACGCTTTGTACTCTGATCGACCTCAGGAATAATTTCGCGCACGGGGTTAACACGCATCGGATTTCGTGCCGCGGCCTCCGTACTTGCGCGCGCACCATGACGTCACGTGACGTCGCGCCGGCGCGCACGCGCAGCCGTAATGTAATACTTTGAAACAGGCTGACAGTGAAAGCTTAAACATTAGTGGTTTAGAAACTTCACACATCGCGTTAACTATTTTTTCTTCTTCTTCTTTACAGTCGCGGATTCACCAAGGATTGCCGGACTGTATCAGGACGATCGCGCTAAATAATCAATGGCGGTGTTATCAGCCGAAGATCGTACCCGATGGCACTGGACGTTTGCCGGGAAATTTCAAGATAACAACGCAACAAGAGGATGCCCTAAAATGTGTGCAAAGTGGGCAAAATGGATTTTCTATTTCTCTTTTTTTCTTGGGTATAAGTTTATGCAGTTTGCGATCGTTTTAGATATGTTTCAAGGGAACCGTGACGTGTTCTCGGTAGCTCAGGTGCCACCATCTTGATTTGTTTATTGCTATTTGAGACACGACAAGACATGACAAGTCTTCGAATATGCATCCTCTAGTTGCATTAGATGGCCCAAAATCCTCCAGGCATGTCGCACGACTAAACGCATTATCTATTGCATGCCTACTTAATGACGACCTTAACTTTTGCTCTTTTTAGCCGGTCGAAGCGCAAGCATGTCATGGCTAATGCAGAATAGTGCACAAGTTCCGCAGCCATCTCGAAGCACCTGGTACACATGTTTAATATTCCTACACTGCTCGGCTTGACTTCAAAGTGGATTTTATAGACAGGATCCTTTGGTGGTATATAGACAATGTCTAATTTAAATTTGAATTGTACGACGACCAAATGTGTTATCATTAGAATCGTCTGATAGAAGTCGTACTCATACATCACGTTTAGAGTTAAAGACGTGTCTTGATATTAATAGTGAGGTGTAAGTACCAGCAGTACAGGAACATTATACAGAGTAATTCGATCCTAATCGGGAGTTTCGCGCTGAACTCTTCACCGAGAGGGACGCCGGTCGTGAAAATAAAGCGGGAGAGTCGACTGCCGAAGAAACAATGGCTAAGTATCGCATGGCGAATAATTTAATTAGTCCTCAAGATCCGGAAGGAAATCCTCGTTACCAGATACAACTAAACCCGCTCTCAGCCTCAGCAATTATACAGGGACGTTTCTCAATTGTGCGCACCGACGTCGCCTCACCGTTTCCTGGAGAGAATCCGGAAAATTTGGGAAAATCGCTCGAAAGGACTCTAAGGAAAATCGTGAGACGACGTCGGCGTCCAACTTGCGACATTAGGCGGCCGAGTAACTAAAACGTAGCAACTAAATGTACACACAATCCGTATTAAAGTAATGATAATCAATCGTGATAACCAGAGTAAGCGGCGATACAATAATAGATAAATAGACGAAAGTATATATATAATGTATTTATAATATGGTACAAATTCAGTAGATCCATAGAGCGTAGTTTAAATGGTAATATACGTTCGGTTAATCCTACTGTATAAAACGCCAGTCGGAAAGTTCACTTCCTTTACGTTAACGCGGTGGTTTAGTAACCCCCCCTTTTTCTTTCGTAATCCCTAAACTTTGTGATTTACTCAGATTTGTATCAACGTCGAGGGCATCGTTTATGAAAAGATCTAGAAAGGAGCGCCGTCGGCCGACTCCGAATCCAAGGTGCGAAACTTAGGACTGTTTTTTCTTCGCCATCGACACCGACACCGTGAATATGGGCGAGTCTAAAATTCCAAACAAAGGGTCTTCAAGTGTAGAAGAAACTTCCGACCACGAGCGAACGAGTCAGAAAACGTGCGAGAGGGAACTTCACAAATGTACAAATCTTTCCTGCGCCAGGGATCGGCAGAGTCCCGCGCCAAATACACCTTTACTCTAATCAACGTCCTAGCACAGATGTTACCCTGAATAAATTTAACACTTTTACGGGATTAATTTCAGATCGTGAAGACACAACGCGACGAAGACTAATACTAATCATCCCTGGAGAAACAACTTGAAGAACCGACAAGCGAGCGAAGGAGAAAAAAAAAATATCGAAGGAACCCCGTCCTAACCGCCAACTTCTACCCAGTGGACGATGAACACGAGAAACGACTAAAACACCTTGCGAGGGAGCATGAACACCGAGGCACAAACATACAATTTACAATGACGCGCTGTTAACGACAACGGTCTCTTATCAAGGGTCCAAGAACACCTTGAGGACATCCCTCTAAATTCTTCACACAGCCGGACGTGACCTCGGTTCCTCTAGGAATATTTAGACATGTTAAAGATACGTCCCTAGAACCTAGGATGAAAACTTAGGCGTTACTTTTCCCCCTTACGGGGACTGAAACGATATCACACGGGGGTGGTAATGCGTCGACCGGATTCGCACTTTTTTCTACCTAGTACGCTTCTGTGCAACATCCGCGTACTTGTATTAAATTAGTGCACAATTGATGTTACACCCTGTTATTTTCTTATCTACTCTGCAGTGTAATATTAATTGTTCACGAATTTAACGTGCGATCCGGGGTACGCGTCGCCGCCATCTTGGACGCGGCAATTGCTCGTTATCGCTCTCGCACAATCCGATAATAGGTATAGTTGGGGCCCGCGATATTACCCGCGATATTACCCGGCGGTACGGCGTAATAGTGAACATTAAGAACATCGAAGAACAGTCAGACAGCGAATCGTCTAGCCTATGAGTTTATCCCATTTGCCGTTGCAGTTTCCGGATCGAGCCCGCTCGAGCGATCTCTAAGCCGCAATTTTCGTCACTATTTGTAATTACCGGAACTTGCGCATTGTAATCATAGATTGTATGTAAGAGAAAAATCCCCACGATGGATTCTTCTTTAAAATTCGATTAACTGATTTTTTTTCCTTTTTTTTACCCCTAATTTTTTAACAAAGTTGAGAATCGAATTCCTCCCAAGTAAGTCGTCACCTTTGCGGCGTTACCTCGATGGGATTCTGAAATTTCTTAGTCACAAGTGGAACGACAAATTAATCGAAATATCTGTAGAAATGATTATGTTCATCGAGGGTAACTTTAATGGATAATTTGTCGACCCTTGTCATTCTAAATCGACGTTAAGTCAACGTCCACGCGGATTTTTCGCGGCTCGATCGCGGAAAGTGGCCTCAATTAGCTAAGTCGAAGTCTAAGAAATTCACAGAGCACGTATAATATATATCACCCATCTACCTAACTCCAAAAATATGTGATCTCTGATTACCTACGCTCTAGATCTCCTTATTATCGTTTACTTATACGGTAGTGTCAGCTATCCACAACGTGATGAATATCGTAAACCCTATGCTCCTAATATAATTTACCATTAATCGTACATATATATATTTTTATATATATACTTGTTTATTTATTTCCTCTTTTTTCCTCGCCCTAGTTTACGCAGTAACCACGACTAATCCCGCCGATTCTAAGCACTTCATCGCGAATCCCTTTCGACCCCTCCCGGATTAAGGCGAGTCCAAAATTTTTTTAACGACCAATCGAGTGTCTACTTTCTTAAAAAAAAAAAATTAGTAAATAAATACGTGCCAGGCTAAAAGTATGTACTACAATTTTTGTTTATATTCAGGTTACTCGGAATTAAATAAGAAACAGGAGAGGAGCCTCATCTGGAGATTTTTGGCATTCCAGCAACGGATAAACAGAATCGTTCGTAACGCGTCACTAGTTTATTCGTTAATTCCTGAAAATTAATTTTCCTGGGAGTGAACATTAATGATGTAGGTACCTTCTACTTTCTTTTTTCTCGCTTAATATGGTAGACTTTTAATCTTCACATTTTCCAAGTTGTATGCAAATGCAGGAGTGTAAAATTCCCGATTGGCCGTTCCATCGACACCCTTAAATCCGATTATTCCCGACGTTACCGATTTCTCGCAAGCCATTCTCAGTCACAATCCCGTCGACATTTTAGGCACTACACCTATTACCTAACGAATATCCCCGTTTAGTAAACAAATGTATATACAATTAGAAACCGATTAAAAATAATTTCTTATGTATCGTTTGGGGCGCCCTCGAGCCACAAGGTAGAGATTAACAGCGAGCTCGAAAACGAAGTCGCAACAATGAAGAAGAAATGAACAATGCTTAATTCGACATAATCGTTATCTACACCATTAGAAGAATATATATATACAGGGTTGCTTAAGAGTATCCCTCGAATTTGGTATGCCCTCAATTGAAGTCTACAGATTAGAAATTAATGTACAATTAGATCGGTTCACGACCAGAGGCTTCGATAATCGCTGATAACACGACCTATGTGATAACGGGGCGCCATCGATTATCTGTGTATACCATCCCTTAATGAGCTAACGTTAAGACAAGGTATATTCTCCACCACGGTCTAAAAACGCCCCCGACGAAAGTTTGATAAGTGTTACATCGCTTAACTAATCGACATTACATCGGTAAAATATCACAACTAGAACCATCGATACAATTACGTTACGTTACTCGTCACCCACAGAGTCCTTAAATTATCGTTAAATGGATTCCGTTAATGGTGTGTAGTCGTTAGAATCGTACCGTAAGTGGTTTGTATGTAACAATGACTGCGAGTAACTCTAAGGCGAAAAGCTCGCGTTGGCCAACGCTCGATTAATTCCTAAATACGATAGCCTCACATCCGCGACGTGGCCGAAGAAATCGTCTGCCTTCCCGTCCGTTTAATATCCCCGAATTAACGACGCCGATACCAGCGATCGATTCAAGGTTTCATCATCGGGGAAAGAAAGGAAAAGAAGCACACTTTCCACGTGGAACACGCTAACGAGTCATCTTCGAGGATGCGCAAGATGGCGGACACCGACGCTGGCATCAACGGCGCGAATTCAACAGCTCTGAGATTCAAGACGTGAATTCATCCCCGCATTTCCCGCCAGAAACCCGATCGTCGCCCTCGGTGCAAAGTCATCGCCATCGCGGATACATTTCGTAGGAATAACCGCAAGCACAGTAATTAAAAACTGGCGAAGTCGCCAGAAAATCCAAGATGGCGTCCCACGTCTGCAAATGGCAAGTCCTTACCATTACGCTCCTACGACCTTTACAGACACACTCCTGTCCGCAATCGTAAGGGTAACGGTAAGAAAACAAATTACGGACAATTCAGTACGCTAGCCTATCGAGAAACTCTGTAGAGTTCCGTGCCAAATACATAAATCAACGGAAATAATTCCCACGAGGTGGCAAATCCTCGGTTGCGTTTACGGTTACTGTTCCTTACGTGAGGTATCCGCAAAGACCTTGAATAACTCTGCCCTCCCCATTCTCGGTTGGCCTTGGATTTTCCATCCTAACCAGCTAAATATCTCGTCGGCCGAGAGAAAGAAAAAAAAAAGGTAATAAAACGGGCTCGACGTAACCTAACCTAACTAAGGAGTCCGCCTGCTGTTATGCATAATGTGCAACGTACAGAAAGGCCCGAAGGGAACCGAAGAGAATGACTATGCCGAACGAAACCTAAGAATCCTAGACAATAAAACTGTGTGTACGTACAGGGTGAAGTATAAAGATATGACTTTTTTACGATCCACCGAAAGGTTGGCGCCATTAAGAGTTACCTAACGTGTACGTGGAAGCATGCGTATGCGAGTGAGTACGCGTTATGTCGGCGTTAGTACGAATCAACGTATATAATACGTCCTATATACGTGAAATCCTCTCGACATTTACGTTTTGATAGCGACGCCTCGTTCCCTCCCAGACCTGCCGGCGTTATCAGAGTTCCTCGTTTCGGTGATTACGCTAATATACAAATACGATTAATCGTTAAACAGGCACATCGACTTGGTTAAATATTTCCGTAGAATGTATATGTATATGTATATATATATAACATACGCGTCTCGAGGGTGTGTTCGTTCGTAAGTGCGACAATAGTAATGATATTAACAATAACCATAATGCGATAAAGTTCATACTCGACGACAAGGCGGATGTACACGCACGCCTGCGATGATTTCAAGCAAAAGCCTCGAGCGAATCCCACCGCTCGTCGATTCTCTTTGGAAAGGAGCTCAGTTACGTTAATAAGGAGAAAAGAAGAAGTAATCATAGTCTTTGCATCTCGAAGGAACGAATGAACCTCGAAATCTCGGCCGGGTTCCGTCGTGGGTGTTGAAAATACAAAATGGCGACACAAGTAACGGCCTGCCAATCCTGTTAAGTAAAAATCTATTACCACAGCATCGAGATAAATGAAATCTGCGCATATCGTTAATTGTGTGGCCATCTTAGGTATTCATTATCAGGCCCTGGCCCGTCGATCGAATTAATTAATGGGGCATCTCTTCGTTTATCGTTAGTGGGTGTCCTCTCGTAAGACCTACGCAACGCAGCTAAGACTCCGTGACCTACGACCTAGAGTTATACCTATACTTATCGCGTATATACAGATTTTCTACCAGAGCTAAGGTAATCCTGGACATGTTAATCACACGGATCGGTTTACAGCCGACCATCGTCCAAGATGCAATCATACTGTAGCAAAGAGTGTCGCGGTATTAATTGAAATACCTCGGACATGCCGGCTCCAGATTTCGGGAGAAACAAGGAGAAAGTAATGAGCAATGTGATCGAGCTATGTACAAATTAATCATGCGAACGAGAGCTTCGAGGCAACCGTGAGTGGTGCGTTGAGGAAGAACATGATTCAAAACGAAATTCCTGTAAATTCTGGTCTCGGCAATAAATATGTACAAAATGGTTTCCCACGCTCCTGCCCGATGGTGCGGCGACAACGAGATTCTCTCTTGACAATCAACACAATAGAGAGACGACTAATCATCCGGAAAGTTAGTTCACAAGGAGTCATACCGATGAAACTATTTACAAAAGGATAATTGTTAAACGCACGCTGAATATTTCTCTCACTTTAGTTGCGGGCTGAAAGCCACGAAGAGCTTCGCTACTCACGCGGTTTAAAACACACTCCACTAAGTTGTGCACAGAAAAAACCCAATCGGGGTGCATTTCGACTTCCTGAGGAACAAAGGAAAAGAATTAAGTGCGATGGATCTGAGAACGCGTTTGCAATTACTTCCAGTTATGAGATGGCTATGAGATGACCAAAAGCACTGGCTTACCCGCGAAAAATATTGTCTGAATTTTAAGGAGGTCTGAAACCTCTTTTTTCCTTCGGTTACGCCATAATGGGGGTATTTCTCTTATCGATTGAAATAAAAATGATTTGCGAGACAACTCGGTACATCTGACGAGGCACGGCGAATATTCTCGTTGAATTTGGACAAATAAGAAAAAAAAAAATCCGCATTACGGTGAAATTCGGCTTCCATTTTCGCAAGAAAAGGAAGAACTATTTGCGGGACGATGCAATATATGTAACATGGTGCAGTGCCATTTGATTCTAATTTTTGATAATACCGTGAAATTCGACGGTGTAATTGGCATAGTTAATCGCGACGCAGACTATCACGGCGCAAATAAAGCAAGCCATCTCGAGTGATCCCAGATAATCGTCACACAGGATAACGGATTAGAATTCGGGCCCTACGAGACGAACATTACGAGAAATCGACTCCGTTCCTTATATACAATACACGCAGAAAGAGTGAAACAGGCCTCGGAGATGCTGAATGGCGAGAACATGACGAGTAGTAATAATTAATAATAAATAATGGGACTGCTGTCGAAAGGCAGCCCTCGTCAACGCAGACGTCACTTTGCGATGTGTACGGCGACCATGTGCCAGGTATGACGAAGAAAAGGAGAAACCTAACCTCTAAGCTCTACCCGTTAACAGTAGCTACACTTTGTACAAGATTGCGACGAGAGCCACTCGCGTGTGCGCCCCGTGTCGGATAAACCTGGATAACCCTAACCGAAGGAAAAGTATTAAAACCCCTAGGGGCGGAGTCGCCATCCCGGTGGACTCGCTAAGAACAAGAACGACGATTAGTCGAGGACGCCTCCGCTGGGGGCGCCTCGAACCCATAAAAACTCGGTATTTGTAAACCGCCGACGAGTCGGCGGCCAGATACACATATCGAGGGGCTAAAATCGTTAATGAGCATTAAAACAATGTGTATGATACGAGCAACATATCATGAAGAAATGCGAAAACTTAGTTAACCTAAAGAACGAGCGGCGCTGACCGCTTCGATCGACACCACGTCAACCCTGTCAGGATTCTATTCTCGCAGACAAGTCTCTCTCTCAATGGGGACCGCAAATATTCGACATACCGACGACATCGTACCGGAGGAGCACCCTGAGGCGTTCTTCCAGACTCGAGTCATCGAATAACTCCCAAAACTCACGAAGTTTAAGGCCGATTGACGCAGGGCTAAGCGTTGAGTCGTTAATAGAAAAGGACGCGCACTTCGTTAATCGTTAGTCGTTAGTCTTTACGAAGAATTGGTACGTTTTTATAAAACTCTAGGACAGAGACCCGCGGGCTGGTCCGCGTCGGCCCTAAGATCACCCACGGGGACAATCGACCTTCGATCAGTTCGTTAGTTTTGCTTATCTCATAGGGAAGTGGAGGACAACGAGAGGTCTACGGGGTCTCATCGGTACACGTAACTTCCTACGTAATCCTACCCAACTATGCAAAACACCCCTGGACCACCATCGACCCTCGTGTTCCTCCATCTTCCTCGGGACCCTTTTCAAGTTTCTTTATCAGCCTCGTCTTAATGATTACGCCGAGCAAGAGGGCCTCGCGTGATTGTACGAAGCGGAGGAAGAAAAGCCGTATGAAAGGTACAACTGCAAAAAGACGTACAAATTATTATCACGAACGATCGACGGCGACTCGGGGGCTGTTAAGGGAGATTCGCTCGCGAATTTAGGACGGATTGTCGAAGTTTGTCGTCTCGTTAAAATCCCATTAAACTAGTTACCAGCATTGCGCGACATCGGCGAGAAAATGTGAGTTCAACTAACTTTTCCTTAATCACGATCGAGCCACTACCGAGTGAATTAAATGCGCCATTCGGCAAGATCGGGGGCGATCGTAGCGAACAATTTGCATAAAGAGAAAACATTAAATTGAGGTTCACCTCCGACAAGAAACATCAAACAACGCGTACATCCGGCACGGCTGAATCGAAAAGCCGACCAACGAAAAAACCCTAAAAACCCCAAAAACCCATTCACAATCCCGCTCGTCGAAATAGTTACGTGCCGCAAAATCGTACAAACATACAATCCGTGCATTTAAATCTCCAGGTGCCAGTGAAACTCATGCGGATCAGTTTGCCGGTATTTCCCCCTAAGAAGAAAAAAAAAAAAAAGAAATATCCATCGAACCAAAGAATTATTTTGCAAATTCAAAGAATCCGACTGAAACAAACTCAAGTAAATTGTCCACCATTTCGAAGATAAGTTCCGTCCAATTAATTCCAGTTTCCTCGAGTCAAGTAATTATTCTTTGAATTAAGAAAATATTTCTCTGGTTAGATAAAGTTTCTTCTTGTCAGGGTCACCAGCCGTTTAATCGATGCCTGGGTCTGGAAGCAATTTCGACGTCTCGGTGATAAGCATCGTCCATGGAGACCTAGGCCATATTTAATTAATCAAACGCGTCATGTACGACTGCTCTAATAAGGATTTTACGGATAAAAGAGAGGCTGAAAGAGATGCCTGAACGAGTCTTCCGCGATCGCGAGTTCATCCCTTCGACTTCGCCCCAGAGCCTCGCCTCCACCTCGCGCGACCAGCGTTCCCCTCCTCGGCCTTTTCTCTTTCTTTCTCGGGACTTCGCCAGGGTGCGCTCATTCCGTGAACCACAGACCGGAGGGTTGGTACTGGTGTTTGGCCGGCGACAGTGGCGCCAATCCGTAGACCGCGGTTGGCTGCATATGTGCGGGCAGAGGATGCGCCGCGTGGCTCGCCAATAAAGGCCTGGCCGAGCTGTGGTGTGCCGGGGGTGGCAACGCACGACTAGAATCATACAACGTTAATGGAGACGAGCTGTAAAAAACGGGATAATGCACGTTAGAATGTCTCCTCAAAGCTCTAAAAACAAGAGAAGGAAAGAATCGTTTCTTTCTTCGGTCGCGAGGAAGGGCGCCAAAAAATGATTCACATCGACCTCATCTCCATCGTACTCCTCGTTCCGGGATTTAGGGGGGATTTTCTTTTTTCTTCGCTAGATTTATTCCTTTCTTCTAATTCTCTATGGAAAAACTATACAACGGATTAATGTGAAATTTAACATGTAGATTTTTTGTGCACATGTAACATATCAATAAATCTACATGGCCAAATTTCACATTGATCCGTTGTATAGTTTCTTCACCAGAGAATTAGAAAAAAGCGGTAAACTTAGCGAAGAAAAAAGAAATTCCCCTCCCCCCTTATTCTGTAAATCGCATGTCTTGTTGCATTAATAATTATGCGGATTGGATCCTGAGCATCTCCATCGACGCTTAATTTCGGATTTACAGGGTTTGGACTCGATAAATCCCGGATTTCGAGTAGTCGCCGAGAGATTCGTCAAGTGGCGCCCGTTCAAACGGCGTCGACTTGAACTAAACGGCACAAATCCAATTGCAAACGAAATACTACTGGTACCGACGGAATAAAATGAATGCGGTAACACGATTTGTCTAGCGATACATCTGGACTAAAATCACTAATTTACTCCCGGTAATTGATTCATGCATCAACGGACATTTGGACGAGTCAAAGTCGGGTTTTCACACGTTAAAAGCGAGCATTAGACTTCATACATTTTTTCCATTTCTCCACACGAATTTATCCCGTCTGCACTATTTTACATTATTACACGTGCGGTACATTTCCTTTTAGTTAAACAAAAATATATACGCAGTTAAATTTGAGCGCAAAAGATTTTCAACATTTCTTTTTTTCTCGCAGTTTAACATTTTCATCCTCATCAACGTTTTGCATGCTGTACAACGACGAAAACCCAACTCGGACACGTTCGTCTCGATCACTGGGCGAAAAAAGCCAAAGTGCGAGCTCGGTAATAGGAGCGAATTCACGCAGTAGTATAAGGAGACATACACGCGATAATTTTTAATTGCAAAATTTAATCCAAGGCGCGGATTTGGTAATCCGAAAGAAAATAAATAAAAATCTGAAGATCTTGGACCCCTAAAGTGGGGACAGGATTTCAATGCATGGCGTTGTATCTCCTTATACTAGGGTGGAACGAAGTAATAGAAAAAAGGGGTACACACGTGCATGCATCTACTAGGTGTCTAGGTACCCACCCGGGTGTGAATCCCTGGTAGGTGGGCACTTGCTGCTGCTGGATAGCAGTCGGCGCCTGAGAGGGCGCCGCGGTGACGTAGACCGGAGGCGGCACGGGATGGGCCCTAGAGCGGACGTGGGCGTACTCCTGGTAGAGGGGCTGCCCCAGGTGCTGGGTTCCCCCGACCACCGCCCCTCCCGCGGGACTCCTGCCCCCGCCGCCGCCTCCAGGACTCAGGTGGGCCGGGTGCCCGTGGTGGCTGTGGCTGTGGGTATGACCCGGGTGAGCCGTCGTGCCCACCACCTGGCTCTGCCTACAAAACCCAACAGTCGAGGCCGACCCCCTGGGTTAGGCATCGGCCGCACTACTACCTCCTATCCTCGGCGACGATCATGCTCGACCGTCTTAAGGCGATATGAAAGTGGCATCCAGAATAACAATCGTTTATGAAACCTTTCTTCAAACTGGGTTTACCGAATCGATTCAAACTTTACCAAGTAAATATGGAGGCTGTAGAGAACATCCCGACACCCATGAAGCTTCAATTTTTCCAAAATGTACTCATAGACCCTGTTTAAATTTTGTATAAAAATTGAAATTTCACGAGTCTCAGGACCTTCCTTATAGCCTCCGTATCCACGTGGTAAAGTTTGAAACGATTCGGTAAACCCAGTCCGAAGAAAAGTTTCACAAACGACTCGGCTTCTCGGATACCACTTTCGCGCCGCCTTAAGGTGACTACACGCGTTTAATTCGCAGCGACGTTTTAATAAGTATAGGTATATGTCGAGGTCTACAACGTACAGTTGTATTAGCACCGATCTCAACCACCTTACGCGTGTAGCCACATTTACGCGCCATCTACCGTCAATTCTCATGCTTTTCAACTACTACTTCTTCAAGGTCGTGCATGGAGAACGGACCTGTACTGATGCACCGGATTGGCCACGGCCCATTTCTGGTGATCTCTCGAATGGGCGGCTGGCGGTTGCACGTATTCGTGCTTGTACTCTGCCCTTTTCCCCGGCCACGAGACTCGCTTATCGGTCCCGGTCGTGTACACGATATGCTGCTCTTGGAGGTGGGGATGCGCGCTACTCGTAGTCACATACTGCAAGAAGTAGTCATGCATGTCATAGGCGTCATCCTAGAAAAACATTACCCAAACAAAGTTAATGGAAGCAGGTTAACTCGAAGTGGGTGCGAAAACCGTCGACCGTGGCGTAGATCCTCGCCAAAAATACAGAATCGACCCCCTGAAGCTTTCTCTCGATGCGGAGAAATCAAGGTAACCGGGAACATGTACATATCCCCGTGTCGAATAAAAGATATCGAAGATACCGGAGTTAAGTAATAATTTTTTAACCAAACTTGCACATTAGGTCGTACCTGATAACTCGGGGGCTCTTTGCAGGCCGGTGCGTGGCAGGGGTGAGGAGCAAGGTACTCGACACCAGGTTCCGGTTTCGTCGCGACGTTGATCATGTTGCATTCGGATTGCACCTTCGCCAGCAGCCGTTTCTTTTGCGATTGCGAGGAGTAGCCGGAACTGGGGGAGGCCAAAATATCATGAGATCTAGTTATTTTGCCTTCGATATTTAATTAATCAATCCCAAAGATTTTCCGGACTGCTCACCTGACGTGGTGTTGTGGCTGCGGCTCGTGTTTGATGTGCTGCGTCGTTTGCTGATGTTGCGGGTGTTGCGATAGGTGCTGATACAAATGGGCATGAGCTCGACCTGGACTGGCTTCCCCGTCGCTGTCGCCGACCGTCACGCAGCTGATGACGTTCTTTCGTTGCACTCTTGACACTGCATTATGCGACGACGTCACGTGGCCATTGGTGATCGGCTGCGTAGTGGAGTGCACCTGTTGCTGGGTGTTCTGCACGACCTTGGGCGTCGACTGGGTGCTGCAAACCACAAGATGGATATTTAATACACGACCATTTATGATCATTCGATTATTTAATTCACTACACTAGCTCCAAGTAGATAACCGACTCATCTACGGGCGTGACGATAACCGTGTAATGAGTCTAGTCTCTAAAAAGTGGATAATTAAAATATAAACGCATGAGTCTCGTATAACCGAGGAAGAAATTTCTACCGGTTATCGCCAGGCTCGTCGCTGATAAGGGTACTGTCCACTCTGTATTAATGCAATCGAGAGAAATGAGTGACGGGTTAGTCGATAGGTGGATAATTGTCCCTCCGAGGTCCACAACCAGGATCCTGAATGGCTCGTTCTAAAAAGAGACGATTAGGGGGTCTTTCAAGCCAATCCAGAGTGTAGGGTTGCCTAGAACACCATAGGTGGAGTAAGTGGTTCCTTCAGGTCGCAAACGGGTGTTATTGATGTTAATGGCCCGACTAGGTACGATTTCACGGTGCATTTCGACGAGGCGATTCTTATGGCGACAATACTTGTGAATTTCTTTTGTTTTTAATCATTTAAATACGTATTGAGTTTTCTCATCTCGGATTGTATATTTTTTCAATCTTCATTTAGGAAAATTAATTTTTCTTTCAGCGTTTCGCCAGGAGGATCCCCTCGAGGAGCGACTCTTGACGGCTTTCATGTGTTGCGTGTTATTGCGTTACGTTAATGTACCTTCGGATGACCTCCTCACGGACAGGACGTCCGTCGCCAGACATGCGAGGTGCCAAACCTTGACAGGCTCCGCACTGACGGTCTCCACAGCTGTCAATGATAGTCATGCATGATTCTACAGTATCCACCAACAACGAGAACAATAAAATAAGTCTAGGAGAAATTCGCGGGCCTCCATCTATCCATCTTATCCTGGAATGGCGTTCCATCGAGGACAAGCTCCTGAAACCTAGCGCGACCATCCCCGCGCTTACGGACGTTTCATAACAAGAAAACTCCTTATCCATCTTCTCCTTATCATCTTCCACTTCCGCAGGAAGGAATAAACGATCCTAGAGATATAGGCATGCATCGCAACGGAGATAATTCAACGTATCTCGGTATTCGTTCGCACTGGCACGCGGACGTGACGATTGTAAATTTCTGTTTCGTTTTTTATATCATCAACCCACCACTTTCCAGGTGTCTCGTCTTCGCTGTCGCTGATGGTGATTACGGAGACTGCCGGCGAAGGCGTGTCGTGAATCGTGATGGTCTGCTGTCTTACGGCAGCGACTTGCTGATGTTCGATGTTGTGGTTCCCGCCGCCATGTTTCGATCCGTGATGATGGGTCTGCAAGGTCTGCTGCTGCCAGTGTCCATTTGTCGGCGAATGTCGTCTCATGCTGCTGGGTGGTGTGCTCTCCTTGACTCGCTTTTTCACCGGGCTGAGCTGTTGCGTTTCCTTTTTGTGCTCGTGCCTGTGCTGGGATTGCTGGGGCACCGTCAGGTGGTGCTGATGGTGCTTCGTCACGCTGCGTTTCCCCCAGCTCTGGGAAGGATGCTCCACCAGGGCGCTCGTGTTGTAGACCTCCGTCACGGGAAACACTGGCCGCTGATCCTTCCCCAAAATACAGGAGGTTTGATTAGACAATGAACGGTACAAATGCCCACGCAAATTTACCCAATGATTGGTCACACTCATACCACTATAAATGGCAGTAAAATTGCATTCTCATATCTAATAACTATAATCTCATTCTTCGTACATAAATCTAAAGTCTAGAAATAAGGCAATTTTCCCGTTTCGCTACCAAAATATCCTCTTCATAAAAGGTACAAATCCGTAAAATACTCATCTAATCACATCCATGAGTGAATATAGTATTGCATCATCTTTTTTTTTAGAGAGCACAAAGTGCCTAGATATCTGATATCTTAACGTCGTACCTTTTAAAATATTTTATGGAATTTCTTTTCAGGCGAGGGGAGAAATATAAGTAGCGAATGTTGTCATGTACCTGTAATATAGCAGAGCTATCTACGATCAAAGGTCTACCCCAGTCACCGGCGTCGCTCAACAAGGGTTGCTGGATGGCGGCGTGTTGCGGTGGAAGTTGCTGCCAGGACGGCACAATGGCCGCCATTTGCCTGCTGCCTCCAGGCCACGACGTCTGCACGGCGTTCTGCAAGCCAATCATGGGACACTTATGTACACGCGGGGGGGAGGGATCGTTAGACACCGTGTAACGAACATGGCTCATAATCTAAGAGGATGGGTTTCATTGTTTGTAGGGACCTACCGTCAACAGCATTTGGCGACCCGTCTCAACCATGGACACTGGAACAGCGGCGTATTGTTGCTGAGCCGCAGCAGCAGCAGCAGCCACGGCTTGCTGGGAGATTATGGAAGGCTGGATCTGCAGAGGAGCTTGCTGAGCTTGCGGCGGCTGTAAAACCCCCGTCCATTACTAGATGTGCAAAACGGCCGTGACACGTTCTACCAATTCTCTCAATTAATCAATTAATTTAATACGTCACTTATTAGCCGATTTACTAGTCCGTCGAGTCTCCACGCCCCGTAGAATGGTAACTTAAATTACTGTTTGCTTTTCTACGAATTTCTAGAATTTTATCAAGAGTCCCAAAATATGTACATGACCGGTGCCGTAGATATGGGAACGACGGTTGATTTTCTGTGCTCCTGTTTAAGGATATCGAGGTAGTGGCGACAGACTAGGCCCCACGTAAATGTCGTTACCTGCGCCACGACGACGTGCTTCGCGGGGCTCGGCATCGTCTGGTAGCCAGGTGGAGGGCAAAGTATTCCGGGCACCAGCTGATGCGGAAAATCGTGAACACCGCTTCTGCCGCTGTTCGATCCGCTGGACGAGCCGCTGTACTGGGTGGGCCTTCGGCTGCTGTTGCTGTATATCTGGTACTGGATGAAACGATAAACCGAGCGTTAAAAACTGCAGCCCGAGGTGTCGCGGAGAGTTGCCGAAGAGCCATCGGTCAAGGTCTAACCGTCCAAGCAGGAAATCTACCTTCAGGTGGCGAGCTACCTACCAGATTGTCATATCCTGTCTGGGCAGTTCGATGCTCCCTGACCAACCGTTGCACTTGATTGGTCAGCTGATTGTTAAAGGTAAGCGTGACGGCACTGCCGTTCGTCGTGGGGACGAAGTTGGCCACCAAGGAGGTCGGCGGAGGTGGTTGAGGAGCCGGAGGAGCCTGATGATGTGCAGGACTTGCCGTGAAGTCCCCGGCACGCCTGCAGACCTCCATCATCTGGACGGAGGCCTTGACGTTGTTGCAATGCGCATAGTCCACGAGATGAGCCAGGGTAACGAAGGCGTGGTTTAGAGCCTCCCCGGGTGTTATTCGGCGCTCCTGTAACACGTAACATGGGGAATCTTGTTGCCGAAGAGTACACGATGTCTCCTAGTCCAAGATCCACCCTGCAACGACCACCAGGTGTCACGCCCCACCATGAATTAGGTATTACTACCTGGTCCATCGTCAGCATCCTCTTCAGGAGGTCGATAAACTCCCTCCGGTCGGCCTTCTCGGCTAGAAGTTGACCACCTTCCAGGTCGGTCGGCACGTTGACCTGGCCGATGTCGTCCAGGCAGTTGAAAATATACTTCCTAGCCTCCTTGGACTTGATCCCTGTCTCCGCCTCGTGCTCTTCGGGCGTCTTAAGGCGCCAGAATGGGTACGTGCCTGGGAACAAAGAGGCCATTTTATTCCGCCGTTCGAGTGCGGCATACCTTGAAGACGCGATGACTGCTTACTGTCCATGTCCCGGTAGAAGAATTTCGTCGTTTTGCTGGCGTTGTTCAACATGTGCTCAGTTGGGAGGCCTTGCGTCTGGCTGATGTAACGAATCTGGTCGTATTCGGTGCTGCCCGGGTACAGGGGCCAGCCCAAAAACAATTCCGCGACGACGCAGCCAAGCGACCACATATCTATCGCTTCACAAAACGGAAGTCCAAGTATAATCTCGGGTGTCCGATAGTATCGTGATTGCAGGTAGGTGCTGCAGACAGCTTTTGAGACGTGCGAAGCTGAGCCGAAGTCGATGACCTTAACGCGGTAGGGCTGTCGTACAGGGTCCACCAGCATGATGTTCTCTGGCTTAAGGTCGGCGTGTATTAGACCCAATTGCTGGAAATAAAAAAATTATATTACCACCTACCACGTGCGAAGGCCGCTTGCCATATTTACATAACCCTACGTAACTCCGCAAAGATGGGGAATTAAATCATTTACGGTATTTCTCTCGAAGTGCCGTTTATTTTTACGACGACATCTTAAAAGAATGTCACTTTAGACATTAAATTATAGGCTCAATGGATGCCATCGATTGAACGAAATCAATGACTGAATTTTCTTGCAGATGACGCCGTAAATAAATGAAAAGATAAATAAATAAAATCGACTAGATGATTTTAGGTGTATTGTGTCAACGTGTGGTACCTTCAGCTTCAGCAGTGCGGTCAACACTTGTTGGAGAATCGGCCTGATGTACTTGAGGGGCAGAGGGGAGAATTTGTTCTGCTTCAGGAAGTCATAAAGATTCTGCTCCAGCATCTCGAACACCAGACAGGTATGCGACTTGTGCTGAAAGCACTCATAAGCGCGCACAAAGTTGAACTCATCCGCGTTTTCCTGACTGAGTCGTGACAGGATGGAGACCTGTTAAATTAAAGAAAATATTCATTAAATCAGATTAAAACAAAAAAACCGCTGAATTAAATTAGAAAGTTATATAAAGTGTCGCCACGCTTGGTGGGTTTTTACAAATCCGGGGGGAGAAAAAAATGGAGGTCCATTTTTATTCTATCCGAGAACAAGCCTTACCTCAATCTGACCTTGGCGCGCATACGAAGGATGATTCTTGAGAATTTTGATGGCCACGATCTCGTTAGTCCCTTTCTTCCAGCATTTGACGACCTGAAAAGAGGAGGATCATTTTTATTCCCTCGGCCCGGCACTCGAGAGAAAGAGTCGAGGCCTAAAATTCAAACGCCGATCGGAAGGCCACTCGACGTTCTCTTCGAGGCGCTATCTACATTACAAGGAAAGTGACTAAGCGAATCCGTTTCAAAGCCGTTCGAATCGTCGCTCGGAATCTTGAGGTCTCGATCCCGAGTGCGACAAGGACTTGGCAAGATCCCGCGTTAATAAAACACGTAGGAAAAAAACTAGCGCAGCTGGCTACCGTAAGAACTTTGTTAAGTTAAGCCAAACCGCTTGGCAAGGCCTCGACAATCGACTCCTTTCATCCCTTTCGCCAAGGACCCCGAAAACCGGAGAAATCCTCCGTCCATAACCCCGGCCGCAAAAACCAATTCCCCAAGTCGCGCTCTTACGCATCTTCGAGGAAAGAAAAGCAGTAAAAAGAAGGAATATAAAGAGAAAAAAAAAGAGAAATATATATATGTGAAAGCAAAGGGCGCCAGACTGTTGGCACAAGTCCCGAGGCGTAACGGTCGCCTGGCGCCCAGGCACTCATAACCGAATATTGCTACATGTTTACTTAATTGCCGGGCGAACAATTATCGTAATGGGAGTTTCCATCCGAATCCAGGCCAGGCAATGATAATTGCTGAAGAATCGCCCCGCTCTTGCCCGGTTCTTGCGACCCCACCAGGCAATGAAACGCCAGTTTCGACTTCTGACAACACTCGGAGTGCCAAGAAACAAGATGGCGGCCTCGACCGAGGTGGAGAGACCGCCCTAGATAAGCGTTCTTCTTCTCAAATCCTCGAATGAAATCATGGACGTCAATTACAAGGGCCCGGCAAATCAGCGAACAAGCTGATAAATAAGTTATTTAACGGAATGACTGATAAATAAATGTAAAAAATGAGGGAAAAAAATAGTCAAGCGTGTCATGGCCGCCTCGTTAGAGAGGCATAGCCAAGAGACGCCGTCCCAAAACGTATCAGTGGCAGTGTAACAAAATTTCGGTCGGCTTGGCCACCCCGAAGAGCGCCACCCTGGGTGACAAGATGCCAGGAGACGTCAGGCTCCGAAAATCGGCTTCTCTTCGGGTTCTTCCTCACCTGGCCAAACGTCCCCCTGCCGAGGAACTCGAGGACCTCGTACTGATTGGTCATCGAGTAGAGGACCTCGTGTTGCACCAGCTGATAGTCCCCATCGCCCTGGGGGTTGCTTCCTCCCCCGCCGTTCCCCGTGTTCGCCACTTGTTTGCTGTGCGACGTCATGTTGGCTTGCTTGTGCTGCTGCTGCTGCTGCTGCTGTTGCTGCTGTTGTTGTTGCTGCTGCTGCTGTTGCTGCTGTTGCTGCTGCTGCTGCTGTTGCTGCTGCTGTTGTTGCTGATGCAGCTGCTGCTGTTGCGTGTGGTGCTGCGACACTACAGTGTTGCCCGGTGCGTTGCTCGCATTGGTGGAGTTGACTACCAGTTGACTATCACCATTACCTTCCCTCGACCAAGTCTTTCTCTGGGAAGAAGGAAGACACCATTAAGATCAGAATTCGTGTCGACTAAGAGCGCAACATTGTTCCCGTGGAAACTTTTAAATCCTCCCCCGAGATTCGTCGTTACGGATTTATCAGAGAGTCACGACCGTGCTTAACCCGACACGCCTCTTCGCCGTCAGGCCCACTTTCCTCGAGACTGCGTCACCTAATCTGTAATTGCTGTTTACAGCAATTACAGGCCATTTGGAATATTTTCGTCAGGAGGAAGTCCCATAAGAGAGCCGTCGACTGCAATCTTCGGTGTTAAGGTGAAGTGAAACATCCTTCAAATCAGTCGATTCGAATACAACACTTTTTTTTAACGGTATTAGACCAAACTGTCCGAAACTTTGACACATCACTCCTGATCATCTAAGAATTGTCCTGACCCCTTTCAAAATTTGGATTTTTCAAAAAAATCTTTTAACTCAGTCCAGACCAGAACCAAAATGGCGTCGAGCTCTCATATTTCGATCAATATACAATTATCGAAGGCTCTTATATGAGATTCGAAAGGGTCAGGACAATTTTACAACAATTTAGAACACTCTGGTAATCGATAAACTCGCATTTGAACGGGATAAAGGCAAAAAAAAGTGTTGTATGCGCTTCTTTGCTAAAACGGTGGTAATACGAGGTCTCGGAGTGAAAATTTAATTGACCTGGAAATCACAGATGGCGCAGGGGGTCCCTCCGCAGTCAATTAGGGCCCCAGAAGGCACGAATCCAGAGGATTTCTGGAGTTTTACTTCGATTTCTTTATAATTATTGTACGAAAACGACAGGTGGAATATTCCATTTGGTACAATACACAATATAATTCGACCTAGCTGTCAATATAAAAACGAACGTCGGCAACGTAGGCATTTAGAAAAATTTTCTTTATCGACGTCGATCAAGTTCCTCGACGTGTTTCACGTCACCTTAAGGCGATGCGAAAGTGACGGCAAAGAGGTCTCGTTTATGAAACTTTTCGCCAAACTCGGCGTACCGAAATCGTCACGAACGTTACCAACGTGAACAGGGAGACCATAAGGAAGTTACGAACCCCCATGAAATGTCAATGTTTTGAAAAATTTCTTATACAAAAAAAAATGAAGGCTCATGAGTGTCGGGAGGTTTCTAAGAGTCTCCGTATTCAGACGGTAAAGTTTTCAGGCGATTTGGTGCACTCAGTTTGGAGAAATGTGCCACGAACGATTGAGCCCTCGGATGCCACTTTCGGATCCCCTTAAAAAAGCGAGGGGCCTTTCGGGCTCACGCCCTTCGTTATTTCCACGGCCACGAGGGATCGCTTCGAGCCGGCAACCAGACCGTTTAACGTCGCCATCTTGCGGTGCCGTTAAAACGACTCTCTCGTTTTCTCTCGGAGGCTCCACCGAGCCCGTGGCTACGGAAAGCGATTTTTCCGCGCCTCCATTAAGGAGCGCCGCCGACTTTCGAGTCCGCTCGATCGTAACGCCGCCTATCGCGTCGGATAAAAAAAAAAGATCATAATTCTCCTCCGCCAGGTGGCGTTCCAAATTCAAACCGTAAGAGTATTCGTCGTGAAGAAACTCGTTACATACCGATTCCACATATTTTTCAGACGACATAAGAAAAGCCGAAAGACCGAATAACAAAATGTTTCAAGCGATTCGGTATACCTAGTTCGGGGAAAAGTGTTACAAACGAGACGCCTCGGGAAACGCTTTCGCATCGCGTTAAGGTGAAGTGAAACACCTAGAGGAACTTGATCGACGCCGGTAAAAAAGGTTTCTCTAAGTACCTACGTTGCCGACGTTGGTTTTAATATTGACGGCTGTGTCGAATTATATCGAGTATTCTCCTAAATGGCATACTCCATCTGTCGTATTCGTACAATAATTATAAAGAAATCGAAGTAAAAATTCTGTCAACTAAATTATCACTCCGAGATATCACGGTTACCACCGTTTTAGCATAGAATCACATAAGACAATTTTTTTTTTTACTTTAACCCGCTCAAACGGGAGTTTATCGATTACCAGAGTGTTCTAAATTCTCATACAATGGTCCTGACCCTTTCGATTTTCATATAGAGCCCTCAATAATATAATATCGATCGAAATATGAGATAGCTCGACGCCAACTTGGTCCTGGTCTATCCTAAGTTAAGAAAATTCCTTCAGAAATAATATTCAAAGTGTCAGGATAATTCCTAGGTGCGCTCACGAGTCACGTGTCAAAGTTTCGGGCAGTTCTACCAAATGCCCTTAAAAAACCAAAGTGTCTTATTCGAATCGACTGATTTGAGGAGGGTGTTTAACTTCACCTTAACCCATTCACTGCCAACTAACGAGATATCTCGTAGTAAGCGTATGTACAGTGGCGGACATGAACGCCTTCGTGAACGTCACGTGTCAAAGTTTCAGGCAGTTCTACCCAATACCCTTAAAAAACCAAAGTGTCTTATTCGAATCGACAGATTTGAGGGGGGGTGTTTAACTTCACCTTAACCCATACACTGCCAACTAACGAGATATCTCATAGTAAGCGTATGTACAGTAGCGGACATGAACGCCTTCCTTACTGATATTGTGCTGCCAATGTATGGTGGGAAGGCATTCATGTCCGTTAGTGTACCAAGACTGGGTCTACATTCTTCTAACAATGAATATGGGACATGTGTTCGTTTTTCTTCCCCGGTTTCATTTTCGGACCGGCCTCCGGCAGGGTGGCTACCTTCTGGCCGCAACGTTGGTACGTGTCTAGGAGCTTGATCGTGGAGGCGCGCACCAGAGTCTGCTGGCTCGGGCTCTTCTGCAGTGCATTATTGTGCAGCGAGCCGAAGGCGGCGTTGGTACCGCTTACGGAGTACCGTTGCAGCCCGGGATTGTCCAACTGGTAGTCGCTGGTCGACTGGACCTGCGCGTGTTGTATCACCGGCTGGCTGATGTTGTAGTCCAGCTTGCGCTTCTTCGTGTGGTGGTGAGCGATGTTGCTGCTGCCGTTGACGCTGCTCGTCTGCTGTGCCTGGATGAACATGTCACACATCCCCTGAAGGACCAGGTTGCGGTTCGCCGTTAACTCTCACCTCCGCACGCCTCGCGGGAGGGCATCGGCGCTGAAACCAGACACGAAGATCACGTTAATGCCTCTTTCGAGAAATCCTCTCGACGAAATCCCGATAATAAAAACCTCGAAAACATTTCGAGATACATCATAAATTCACCACGTAGGGTCTCGAATTCACATATAAATCGTGTCATTTCACGGAATTACTGGAAACCGCCTCAGTCGTAGTCGTAAGTCCCTTGCCACCCCGACGCTGCCAATAGATAAAAAAAAATTAAAAATATATATTGTAACACCCGTCACCTTATAATATTTCTAAGGTAATTTCAACATTTTCGACATATATCATAAATTCACCACGTAGGGTCTCGAATTCACATATAAATCGTGTAATTTCACGGAATTACTGGAAACCGCCTCAGTCGTAGTCGTAAGTCCCTAGCCACCCTGACGCTGCCAAAAGATAAAAAAAATTAAAAATATATATTATAACACCCGTCACCTTACAATATTTCTAAGGTAATTTCAACATTTTCTACATACATCATAAATTCACCACATAGGTGAAAAAGGTCTCAAATTCACATATAAATCGTGTAATTTCACGGAATTAGAAACGCGACGTAAGATCACGACCCGAGAATGGAAATTGATCGAACCGTAGAAATATTTCCTTAATTCAAGGAACAATCATTTGACTCGAGTAAACTCGCGATGAATTGTCGCAATTCCGAGGAAACGTTGCGTCCAATTTATTCGAATGCATATGCCAATCACACACCGGTGAATGTCAACATTTACCTGTGTAAGTCAAAAATAAGGGTATTTAGCAAATATTTCGGACATACACTAAGCGACTGTGAATGTTGACATTCACCGGTGAAAGTCGACATTCTCCAGATTTCGGTGTTTCACCGTAACACATACATTTTACATCTCGTGGGCATTGCAGACTTTAGCCGGCTAGCAAGCACAGCTCGAGATGAAAAATTCTAAACGATTATCCGGAAGTGTAACGACTCGATCCGTTAGCGCACAATGACGAAAAAGGGTGGGTAAAAAAAAAAAGAAGAAGAAATACACATCGTTACACGATCGCGGATAGGAATAATAAATATCCCGTCATGCATATGTATAAGTCCGGGCACGTCAAATCGTCGGCCGTGTATTTCGACACGGCGAAGCCGGAAGTCGGCGTCAAAGCGCTCGTTTGCGAGGCTGCGACGTCGATGCATCGCAATGGAGCGGACACGCGAAGAAACGAGCGAAAAGAAGGAGTCCTTTCCAGTTGGACGAATAAATCGAGGCCCGATCGCGGCCGCGCCGGCGAGGCGTCCTTGCCGTAACCCGAGAGAAAGGGAATCAAACAAATCTAAGAATAGTGTCAGGGTTGAGGTACGTTAGCGTTTCCCAGTCGGCACTCGGGGCCTCATCGGCCCTGTGGAAAAATGGGCCCTATGCGAAGAAAAAGATGCCAAGCCAAAACGGGGCTCTGTGCGAAGAAATAAATGCCAAGCTAAAATGGGGCTCTGTGCGAAAAATGGGGCTTCGATGAAAATGGGGGTTTTAAGGGAAAAGGGAAGGCGCTGGGAAAATGGGCCTTATGTGAAAGGGAAGGCTGCAAGATAAAACAGGGACTGGTGCAAAAATAGATCCCCAGGGAAAAAAGATGCCAAGCTAAACCGGGGCTCTATGCGAAAAATGGGGGTTTTAAAGGAAAAGGGAAAACACTGGGAAAATGGGCCTTATGTGAAAAGGAAGGTTGCAAGATAAACAGGGACTCATGCAAAAATAGGCCCCCGGGGAAAAATGGTGCCAAGCTAAAACGAAGCTCTGTGCGAAAATGGGGGTTTTAAGGGAAAAGGCGGAGCACTGGGAAAATGGGCCTTATGTGAAAAGGAAGGTTGCAAGATAAAATGGGAGTCCAAGGGAAAATCAAGTTCAAAGCGAAAATGCCCTGGGGGAAAATCTCGGTCCACACGGGGCCCTATGCAGAAGTTGGGACTTAAACGAAAATGGGCCTTGGGAGAGAGGGAAGGCTTTAGGCTGAAACGGGGCACCGTGCGAAAATGGGCCTCGTGAGAATAAAAAAAGGTCCCATGGGTCAGTAGGGACCTATGCGAAAATGGGCCTTGTATGAAGAGGAGAGCTTCGGGATAATGCCGAACTCTATGCGAAAAAGGGTCCCGAGCTAAAACCAAACTCGGTGCCCGTTGCGAAGCCAAAGGTTCCGAGCGAAAACGGGCCCTGTGCGAAATGGAGGACCCCTCGGGCCCCAAACTCACTCCACCTGGCCCCGAAAACCCTCGAACGAGCTCCTCTGTCCACTTTGCGGGTTTCGGTCGGCTCCCTTCACTCGTTCGCGTCCCGAAATTCCCGTCCCGGCATTTCGGGCCCTTCTTTTGTGCGCGCCGAGAAAGAAGGGCCGCTTGGGCGTAGGAAAAACAATTCGGCCATAATGAAAAATTTCCAACAAATATAAGACACATAAAAATGGCCTAACAATTCTTTCGCGGACATGTATCTCTGCCTTATTAACAAACTGTATTCAATATCCACGGCTGCAATATTCTTTACTAACGACAACCGCGTGTTGCCCATATCGCGTGCACAGAAAAAAAGAAAAAAGAAAAGAAGACATTTGCACTTTTAGCAAAGAAACAGCATTACCGATAAAGTTTTGCTCTTCCTGCAATAACAATCCCACCGACAGGAAAAAGTTTGCAATTACATGGAATCTTAGATGTAACCATTGGGGAGCTTTCCTCAGAAACCGAGTGCATGCTAAATTAGCAAATGAATTTGTTGCAGCCAAGAAATACCGTCGTCCCAGCTCAAAGGAACGAGTGACATGCAATTTGTTGTTGCCAAAAAAGAATATAGCATTTATTAGTTGGCTGCCGTGACACGTAAAATCTCTCGTACCTGTGAATTCTTCTTCTGCGCGCGTTAACAATTAACTCATTTTTTTTTTTTTTTCTCGCCCGTCGTTAGGACAAATTTATCCGATAATTTATCAAGCACGGTCTCGGGCCCTCATTTCGTAAAATTGCAAACAATTTGCCGTCAGTACAGCACTTTCAGCGAGATGAAAATCCTATCGGCAATGATCTTCACTCCTAGAGCAATGTCTTCCGTTTTTTCTCGGCGCATGCGCCGGGCAATTTTCCCCGCTTCTTCCCGGGATTTTCTCCGCCTCTTCCCGCGATTTCCCTCGGAGAGTCCCTCGGGACCCTTTCGCCTTTTCCCTTCGGGGGAATCGACGAGTTGCGCATCTCGGCACTCGTCACCGGGATATATAACGCGCTCACGGCGAGGCGCACGAAGGCAAAATTTATTGAATAATAATTCTTAGCTCGGTTCAACAAGGGGTTCGTTAAAGCCGACGCAAACGACCCACTTAAGGCCGAGAGGCGCGAGCGGTAGCGAAAATTTTACGAGGAAAATAATATTGACGCGCGCTGCGTACCCGGAGATAAATATTTCCCGAAGCGGCGATTGTCCCCGCCGCTTCTGCGCCGTCATCAAGGTATTTTTTATTTACGCCCCCCCGACCATGTCCTTCTGTCCCGGCCGTGTAGAATTCAATGCAAGGTAATGGCGTAGTAGTAGAATTTTTCTGAAGCCCGACCTTAAGGCGGTACGAAACCGACATCCGAGGGGTCAATCTGGAAACAAGATGTACCGAATCGTTTTCAACTTAATGTGGTTATACAGACTACAAGGAACATGGAGTACCCATAAAATTTCATTTTTTAGAAAAATTTGACATTTGAAAATGTAGAAGAATAAATTACAAAAAATAAAATAATAATATTTCATGAATATCCGGACCTTCCTTATAGCCTGCACATTGTTTCGAAAGATTCGGGACAGTTCCGGGAAAAGATTCGCGAACGTGAATCTTCTGTTTGACGTCACTTGCATGTCGCAATAAGGAGCTCGAGAAGTTCCAATTAAAACAGTACAAACTATTTAAAACGGTCAGATACGGGGTGTTGAATATTTTCGACAGCCATTGCCACCGTGAGCGCTTTAAAAAAAAAAAAAAAGTTATGTTCAAACGCAGCTAGTAATTTATAGTTTTTCACCCACATTATAACCGCACGTGTCGAGAGCGGTAAACGCGGTTTAAACGGATGATCTCTTTCTGGGAACAAAAATTGGAGCAGACGCGCGATTTCCGGGTATCGTCGAGCTTCTTAAAGCAATCGTTATTTTTTCTCCCGAGTGTTGGTGGAAAAAAAGAGAACAAGAAGAAAAAAAACGTCCACGTGCGCGAGGTTGAGGGGGGTTTACATTAAACAGGCGCCATTGAGCGGTTTAAATAAAATCGGGGAGGGGAGTCAAATTTCCGGGAAGAAAAGTTCCTCGACTCGACGTGGCTAAGAAATGGATTTTCCTATTTAAAACATTTTCAGCGGAAACTTGTAAGAGTTTCTCGATTCGATGGCTGTAAAGAGACCCTTAGGCAGTCGGTCGAAGCGAGCGGGGTGCCTCTCGCGGTGTCCGCCTTGCCGTACGGCATATACCGTTCGATGAGTCAAGCAAATTAATCAGCCAGCAGCGTAGGAAAACCCTCGCGTGTGTCGACGCGGTCAAGGAAACTCCTGAACCCCGTCCGAGTGGGAGGACGTGACTGCAAAGAGTAAACGGTCCGGAGTGCGTCATCCGGTAAAAAAGCCGCGTAGACTGGACGTCAAAGCGGCTTCCCACAGCGGTCACGTGGCCGACCCCCGAGACGATCGACCGCCCGCGTGACTCCGCGTCCGCTCCCCCGGGCGACCCGAGGGAGACTGCGCCGCGACCGGCGAGAACGCCGCGCTTATATACCCCCGCCGCCCCGCAGAAAATCCACGACGCAGAGAGAAGCATTCGGCCCGGTGGAACGATTTTCTTTTTTTATTCCCTTCTTTCAATATCTCTCCCTTAAACATGAAAACCATCGAAACGTCGGAAATTTTCCGCAATAATAAAAAAAAAATACCAATTTCGAGCGGTTTAGGTTAATTGACGTATTCCAAGAACGCCGATCCTCGGCCTACATAT